CGCCCGTTGCAGGCGCGTCCCATTTAATGTCAAATAACTCCGTTTACTGGTTATTTACGAACACAAACTTTAATCGTTGTGATAGTCAATAAACATATCTAGATATTTTTTAGGTAACGTGTTTTCTGGGACCTGTTATTATGTCTTTCATGAAAGAAATAAAAATAGGGCGGTAATAGACTACAAATTTTGGGGGGTCGTTAATAGGCGCACTTACGTTATCTCTATGCCAAATTTCATCAAAATCGGTTCAATGGTTTAGGCGTGAAAAAGAGACAGACAGACAGACATTGTTACTTTCGCATTTATAATATTAGTATAGATAAAATTTTCAGGGAGCAAAATGCACTCAGGTATCCCGAAGTAATGGTTACTTATAGAATATTCTTCAGTAAGATCTTTTTGTAAGTTTCAGTAAAATGTTTTTCCGTTTTTGGGCCTAATATTGAAAGAAGGAAGAATATTTTTTATGATAATTTTGAATTATTTTATTGCGCTCTTTCTATTGAAATAATTTAGAAAAAAATGGTATGAAACTTTGATAAAAAAAAGCCGTAGCAATGGGTACCTAAGGTAATAAAAAGGATGAAGCAAGTAATGAATTTGATTACAGAAACCATCCAACTAAATTGAAAACACATAATAATTTTCAAGAGTAACTAGAATAAAAAGTTTTAGTATGGGTACATAAAACCTTGAAAAAGAAAATTACAATGTTCTTACTAGAGCTAGATTTAGACTAAGACACGTGATAAAGCTAAGACCTATTCAATATTACCTTGCAGGGACTAACAATAGTTTATACTTTCCCCGTTTCTCCCACAATATAAGAGCTTATTTACTCAAGCCAGGTAATACCGTAATAGCTCTATGTACCGCATATGCGATCAATCATCCAGAGGCTCGTGCTCCCCCAAGGAGCGATACTTTAAAAGCTTTCTATCAATGGATATTCGTGTCTGGGAAACCCGGAAAAGATCGAATTTGTTTACACCTTTGAGTGCATGTAATAGGGAAGAAATGGGTAAATTTCCCAAACACATTTTTTGAGCGGCGTAGCTGAAAATCATATGTTTTTTATGACATAGAACTTTGATTTTTTTTTACACGAAAATATACAGAGGTTCCATTTTGAGGACAACATTATTAATGAGTACTTTCTTTTACAAATTCGACAAAAAATAATTGAACTAAGCGTTTCTAATTTTGGTGCAGTGTCCACATCCTTAATTTCTTACAATATGTATTTTTTTAGCTGAAAATCAAAACAGAACTTAGGGAAAAAGTATATTTTTGGATTATACAATCTATCTATTATCTAAGATTACCAAATTAAGCAAGTTTCCCAAATAACTGTGATTAAGTCACGTCCTTAAGTTTTGTCCGCGAAAAATTTATGATTTTGGTGTCAATAATGAAATAGCTCGTCAGTTTCTTTAAAGATCAAACAGGATTTAAACACTCCCATCATTCGTTAGGTTTAGTACCGCCCCCGCGAGCAGTGACGGCAGACGGGTGCAAGACCTCTGCGTCTTCCCGCCAAAAACGTAAATGTGTCGTTTTTTTTTAAACGGACAACAATTCTGCAATTTTGGTGTCTTTTTGTATAAGATTTCTAAGCTATTCTTTTTAGTTGAATTCCTCGTATAATGTAAAGGAACTGTTTTCATACCATGTGTTAAAATGTTATTGTTATATTTAAAACAGATTTCATATAATTTAGCTTTTTCAACGAGAATCTAATTTTGGTGAGTCAATTTTGGTGTTTTTGGTGGTGCACCAAAGCATTTTTAACCGACTTAACTCCGTCAATTGTGAACCGATTTTCAAAATTCTTTTTTTGTTCTATAGGGTACACTTATGTGGTGGTCCCATTGTCACCAAGTCAGGATCTGATGATGGGATCCTAGGGAAATCGAGAGTAAACCTCAAATTTTGTAGGAATGCAATACGTTTTCTAAAGTTATTCAAGTAGTCATCATCTAATGTTGATGAGGTGATGATGGAAGGTAAAACTCCTTAACGCTTAGGAGTTGGAGGATAATTCTTTAAATATTTTAGGTAGGTATGTACATACAGTTGTATTATTTCAGGTATTTAAGATGAGCTGATGATGAAAGGTCAAACAACATAAGTTAGGAGTTAGATGATACTCAATACTCATTTGTTGATACATACATTGACACATGATACATTGATACTTTTTAGTTGCCGATATTTAAAGTAGGGAGCCTGTATTTTGCTAGGAAGATTATTTACACTTGGATTGTGATTAAGACTATAATTTTCCATTACAAAATGGAAAATTATAGTCTTAATCACATTAAACATAGGTACTGTCCCTCTTCAGTGACAATAACAAGGACTAATCAACTAAAAAGCATGAAAAAAAATAATTTTAACAAAAAAATTAAAACCGACGCCAACAATCACTTAAAAGTAGAAAATAAGTACGTCGTTATTTATTTATTAGGACAATATACCATGATTAATATTTTTGGAGTCGGTGCTGGTAAATTTAAAACCATTTCTTGAGCTTGGCACTAAGATATGACCGACTGACAGCATATTTTCTAATTTTGGTGCTTTAATATAAATTTTGGTGTTCTCTTAATTTTGGTGTAAGGAAAATCTAAAAAACTACTGGACAAAATTTAATGTCTTAATCATTTTAGAAACAGTATAGGTTTCCAATAAATTTGATCCATAATTAAAGAATAAAAATACACAAATAACAATTTCCACCAAAATTAGGCAAAAATATGCACTTGTTGAAATTCACCCAAATGTAAAAAACTAATACTTCTGTTCTTCCTACTGATGGACAAGCATGCCGTTAAAAACCTATACCGTATCGTACCGCCTCTGTGGTCTAGTGGTAAAACCACCTGCTTCAGACGCAGAGGGCCCGGGTTCGATTCCCAGTGGGGGCCGATTTTTCTGTTCGGTTTGGTTGGTGGTAGGGCTTTTTCTAAGTTCGCCTGGCTAGCTACCACCATCTTACCCAAGTCTGTCGCCATAATAACAATGTTGACAGCATTGTTGTGTTCCGGCAGTTAGAGGTAAGATAGCCAGTTCCTCCGTGGTTGAGGATTCCGGGTGAAGCTCGCTTCCACCTTCGGCCTGATTGTCACTTACCATCAGGTGAGATACAGGCCAAGAGCTTCCTTGTTATGGATAAAAAAATTATTGTCACCTGTCATCCGCTTTACACTGGAGAGAAGTCGAAACTTCTTCGAATTCCTCCTATGTTCTTCTGATTCATTTCGTTGCGGGTCCAATGACAGCTTAACTTTCCCCCGGGATAAACTTGACCTTCACTGGTTGGGTTTTATTGGCGGTCAAACTGTAGATCCTGGCTACACAGGAGTTGCAGCGGTTGGAACGAGAAGTGGGAATAGTCCAGTACCGTGAAAAACATGAAACTTGTTCGTTCGTTTCAGCAAAATAAAGTCCTCCCGCAAAGATTTCCACAGTGGCCAGTCCTGTGCTGCCCGCATCTAGGTACTTCCCGTGNCACATCCACTATGAATTATCTTTGGGTAAAAGAAAAACTGTTTTTTTGTAAACTAGTGTTATCTAAGATGTTACATTTCGCTGCGCCCGCGACCCGGTGAACTCTGCCATTCACTTTTGCGTCACACTTACCGAATAAAGACTTGTAGAGCTTATTATGTGATGTTACTGTATAAAAAAAACTTTAACTACACTTAATTATGAAACTGTTTTTTTGTTTGATTGAAAGTGCTAATCTCGGGAACTACTGGTCCGATTTGAAAAGACTTATGCCCGTTTTCACCATCAATCCTTAGTTTCAGGAATTTTGTTTTCATTTCACTTAAAAATTAGGGATTGATGGTGACTAAAAACGGGCACGGACACGCTTCCATAAATAGGAGCAGAGCATGAATTTTGCAAAAACGGGAAAAAATCAAGCTATTTTCACGCGTACGAAGTCGCGGGCATAGCTAGTGTTAAATGTAAAGTGGGAAAAAAACTAAAACTGAAAACAATAAAGGCGATATCATCTGATTGATCTAATCATTTTTATAATAATAAACTTCTATAAGCTAACTCAGTCAAGGTTAACAGCGCAGTTAATAGTGTTTATTATTTCCAGTAAGAACAGCCAAACAATTAAAAATATTTTGATTAGTCAACAAGAATTGCCTTTGTTTTATTCAATAAATCCGTACACAAACAAAATCCACCATTGTCATTATAACTCTAGTTTACACGTGTAACTAGCTATTTCAACTTCGTGACTTATTTTTCCCACTTATTTCAATTAAAAATAAAAACAGGAATGATAAGTTAATAACACAGAACGACTCTACGTCGATTTGCTTATCTAAAGCATGTTTGTAGTATTTTAATTTTATTTTGTTTAGTGCAAACCAGTTAGTTTTTATGGTATCGTGCCAACTACATTCTATTAAATTAATATGCATCCTTTGTCTGAATGTCAGGCTGTATCAATTCAGGAAACTGGGTTTTATGTGTCATTTTTGTTTTAATTAATGATAATCAGCCTCTTGGAATGTAAAGAGTGTGTATGTTATTGCCGATATACCAACAAAAGGTCTATCAATCATCAAAATTAAAGGAAATAAAAAATAACAAAGGACATACACACATGTTGTAGTTTGCATTTGTTTCTATTAGATTTACGAAAGAATTGATATCTAAATATATAAAAGGAGAAACTGACTGACTGACTGACAGATCAACGCACAGCCTAAACGGCTAAACGTAGGCACTTGAAATTGGGAAGGGACGTAGCTTGGGTACCGTAGAGGTGCACTAAGAAAGGAATTCCCGAAATTCCCACGGGAACGGGAATTAGCGGGAAAAACGGGATTCACGCGTACGAAGTCGCGGGCGGCCGCTAGTAGGTACATAAACTGCATGATATTCAATCTTATACAGACCCCTCTTGTGCAAATCTGACTCGTACTTCACCGGTTTATACAATTTATAGGACAAGTAATTTGACTTACATGATTGGTCACATTCTCGACCACTTCCGCCAAAGCTTCCTCGTTCGCCAAATTTAAGGAATGATTCAATAGATTCTCTATTTCTGTCTCTTGTTTATTAATTTCTGATCTAAGTTCGTTCGATTCAGAAAAAAGATTCGCCTCTGTAGGCTGGTAACTTACATGCTCATTGGTTGTATCTTTGTATATTTCTATGTAATCTATATCAGGATAGTCGGTGACGTACTTCTTTTCATCAGCTTCCTCGTAGGATTGATCAATGTCATCATTTATTTCATTGTCTTTCTCACTTTTGCTTTCTAACGGGATCACTTTAAATGCATCCTCTGTAGTCGGCGATTCCGAAGGCGTTGTCACAGTTAAGTCCTTAAAACTTATATCTTCAGCTAAATTAATTTCAGTGGTTAAAATCAAATCTTCACTGTCAATGTGTTCTTTGTTTTTAACGCTATCATCCAATTCAAAAGTCCTGACGACGATTTTCGTGTTGTTTTGGTCATGGATGAGAACCTCAGATTCCTTTATGTTTCCATCGATTTGTTTAATTAAACTTGTTAAATCCGATAAAACTTTATCGATACTCGCATCTTCTGGTTCACTGAACTCGTAATTGAGCGTTTTATTTGAATTGGTAACGTTCACTTTATCAGTTTGCACAAAATGAATATTTCCGAAGAAATCTCGAAGAAAATCCCCAAAACATTCGATATATTGGTCACAATCACAGTGCACATTATTAACGGCCAGCGCACAGATTAAAAATAAATAGCGGACGTGCATGTTCGCTAAAAGAAGTTTACAAATAAAAACGTTTACACTCACAGTCAGTTCGTAAACAAATGCATGAGAGATGAGATGTGTTTCTATATCATAGTGGACAATAGATGCAATCTCAAACTTGATCTTATCCCCGAGGTTATTAAGTTTAAGTTCCTTTATACCTTCTAACGCAGGTTAGGCAAGGATCACCTTGAAACTTGAGGCAATTTTGACTTTGATAGATGGTGGTAGACAATTAGCGTTTGTACCAGCCAATTTTAAAACCTTTTGAAGATCTTTTACAACAGAACCAGATTAAGTAAGCTCTTTGTCCATTGTTCGATATACTATTCGGGTTCCGTTCCCAAGTGGTCTTATTAATTCAATCTATACTTAATTCATCTTAAAGGAGGTTTTAAGATTTCTGTGACAAAATGATAGCTTTTCCTAGATTAAACTGTCTCAACTTTTTTTCTGTGCTAAAATTGTACCATGAAATAGACAGATGAGGTAATTTACGCATTTCATTATAGTTATTATGGGAGCTTAAACGCAGCGTAGGACATCAAGGTGGACCGACGACCTCTTATAGGTATCAAAAGGGCGTTGGATGCGGGTCGCTATCAATCGGGAGATGTGGAAATCATTGGGGGAGGCCTTAGTTCAGCAGTGGATGTCCGGTGGCTGAAATGATGATGATGATGATGATAATGATGATGATGATGATGATAATGATGATGATAATGATGATGATGATGATGATAAATAAGGAAGGCCTGTGGATTCCCAGACTAGAACCTACTGTACCTTCCTAAGTTGTGGTCTGGAGCTTTATTAACAATAGCTTTTGCAACTGAAGCTGTGTCAATCGTACATGCTTTACGTAACATTAATTGTTGTCTTGTACATTTTCCAACCGACCAATTAACGTTTAATTTGTCAAAGATGTGAGAAATCGTCAATTAAGTGACGTGTTACACAATTTTAGGGTGAGTATATAATAACTACTTAATACCTTCGTCAATTATAATCTTGCAAAGTAAAAAGCAGATAAAAAATCAATCAAATAAAAAAATCTATTATCCTGGTAAGAAATAAACTTTAAACCCATGAATGCGTGTAATGCTGATTAGTTTATATAGAAGACAAATTAAAAAGAACCCTAATTTTTAGTGGCGAATCATCATCATCATCATTTCAGCCACAGGATGTCCACTGATGAATATCTCCTCTAATGATTTCTATATTGCCTGACAGGGACGTCCACCCATAAGGTGGACTGACGATCTCATAACTGTAGAAGGAAGGCGCTAGAATGCAGGCCGCTACCGATCGGGTGAAGAACTAAGTCGCATTAATTTATGGCAGAGCATTGAGACAAATATTTAACTTAATCTAATCTTATTTAGCTTATGTTGTTCGTCGAATTTCAATAATTAACCATTTGAATTTATTTTTAAGTAGAGATGCACTTAATTCTACTCCTTAAGTGGGCATTAGTCACCTTTGTTTACAGTTTACTGGTAATACCTTAGTTAGGTAATACCCATCGGAGGAAGTCAGCAAAAACTATTCAACAAAAACTATAAGATTCAGAATCTCGCTATAAAAGTGATCTAGTTTATTAGAGACTAGCTTTCCGCCCGCGGCTTCGCCCGCCTAGAATTTTGTCTGTCACAGAAAAACTTTATCGCGCGCGTCCCTGTTTCAAAAACCAGGATAAAAACTATCCTATGTCCTTTCCCAGCCCGGGACTCAAACTATCTCTATGCAAAATTTCTATGTTAATACTGAACCCATTTTGATGTTTTTTATGAAATATTGTTACTTAAATATGTTTTAAATGCATCTTGTTATTATTTAATTTTAAATTTTTATAATTGATCAATGTATTTAATGCTTAATTTATGATTTTTATTATTATTTTTTTACTCTTTTTTCTGTTTTTGATAAATAGCGCTGCAAAAAGGCACCCACTGAAATCAGTGTCTTGGCAGTCACACTGTCAAGTTATTACTGAGTGGGTGACCTTTTTTGGCAACTTAGTATTTTTTTTTTATGTAATGTCTTTATTGCCTGAATCTGTGGTTGTCAAAATAAAATTATTTTCTTTCTTTCTTTCTTTCTTTCAGTAATTTAGGCGTGAGAGCAAGACAGACTGACAGACTTGCTTTCGCATTTATAATATTTTATTATAAGTACAGAAGTATAGATTTATCTTCTATCATTATCTAATGTTCCCACTACAAATCATTCTGTGATAGAAATCTTATTAGCTGTGTAATAATGGTAATAAGGATAATTTGTAGTGATTGTTTTATTGCCTTTTTGTAATTGACTATTGTTATGAATGAGCAAATAAATACTATCTAAAGGCGTAAAAAAGGAATAAATTGATGTGCCGTCCTTGACTGAAAAATAGTATTGAAAATAATCTTATTCACATCCTCTATTACTCACTAAGTATATGTATACACACATTTTTAACTCAAGTGTAATATGGATTTTTTACAATATTTATATCTGCACCCAGAATTTTTAGTAGATGATCTACTTAATTGTCGTCGATATTGTCTTCCGTTTAAAGTACCACAACCTCCAAATATTTCCACCTACAAAAGTTTCGATAGCAAAATGCATGTTGAAAGCCTTTGCTTCGCGTTGCAAAAAAGTCTCAGACGTTTTTGTAAATGTACTTATAGCCAGTAAGGTTTTTTAAATTTTAACACTAGCTGCTATGCTAGCTGTAACCATTTTGTTTTTTTTTTATTTGAGAGAACTGATAATGTTCTTAATCTGTGTCTTCCCATTTTATTTGGTGTTGGCCGACGCCTCTCCCTAGCAAATCAAGGCAGCCTGTCAAGAGAGAACAAATCAAACCCCAAAATTCTTCTGTGATTTATTATTCACAATGATTTTATGAATAAATTCGATCCACTCTTATAAAAGTGATGTCAATGTCAGCACTATATTTCTATACTACCTAGCTAAGTAATAAATAGGTCTAGTTTATTTGATATAATAGGTAACTAGTGATAGTAAAAGTTTAATCAGTAACTTTCAGAACATATTATTTATCATCCAACTTCATACACCAACTATTCGTGAAAGGCAAACTAAGTTTACAACTTTTTTTGTCAGACGAGTCAACGCCCGAGAAGTGAAAGAGGTATGCAAGATGTCTAACTTCAAAGGTAAAGTGTTTAACACTCACCAACTTTTGAACTGCCACCAAACTCGGAGCATCACTCATGACTTCAACATCTTGAGATCTTGTCGTAAGCTTGGATTCATCTACTAAATCCTTAATAATTTTCGTGTTCGAATCTTCGTCCACGAAAAAGTAATCAACGAGTATAGTCTTCTTTGGCACCTCACTGTAGTCTTTGCCCATATCTTCTAGCTTTGCGTTTCGTCTAACTTTCGATTTCGGAAAATCGAATTCGTCAAACGAAAACGCATCGTCTTCTGTAGTATCCAACCTTGTGGACGAGTCGTAATCGATATCAGTCGTCGAATACATCTCAGTCGCATAATCCACTTCAATAATCGTCAAATTTAGTTCTGACAGCGTCGGTATTCGAGTGATAGTAATATTAGCATTTACGTAGTTGTAAATATCTGGCCAATATCTTGCGCTGTATAAAAACGCCGATATTAGAAACAGACAAACAAACAAAATAAGCAATATGATCAGTCGTATGACCATTTTTAAAAGAGAAATGTTAATCTTCATTTTGTTCTTGATTTTTGCACTACACTTGCTGATAACATAGGTGATACTGATCGATTTTGGTTGTCAGTTTCTATAAGATCATTACTACATCCTTTTAAGGAGCGTATGTTTGAACAATGGGCTATAATAGTACCATCATAGGATACTAAGGACAAAAGGTGGTACGCAGTTTCGCGATCATTGTATTCATTTCCTCGTATTCTTATAATAAGTGACAATGCAATCTAAAGTAGAAATTAATTTAATGAAAGTTAGTAGTAGGCATTTAATCTGTTAAACATCTGTGTAACTGTCAGGTTCAATCCCATTGTATAACTGTAATGAGTGTTACGTGAAGATAATTGAAGTACGAGTTACTATGACGGTGGGAATTTGTGTTAAACATATTTCGAAGTAGGCAGAAATTGCCATTCACGGATTGTTTGATTATTATCATCAATAAAATACCATCCATCTAATACGTAAGTACAGCGTCAAATAGTTTGTGATACAAATAGCCAAAAAGATAAAACACAACCTTATTCCAATGTAACAAAGACGTATTGCAAACTCTTTGCGGCTACTTTGGGCGTTACGAACTATTTTTTTTGACACTGACTATACCCTCAAATTACATAATGAACATCACAGCTAGTTTGGAAAGTGTATTGGATCACTCCAATTGGGTGTAATTTATGAAATAACCTTTAAACCAGAAGAACATCAAACTCCGAAGCTATTAAAAAACCATGTTAGGGAAAACAACAGTTTTATTAAAATAGAAATAATAGGCAACACTTAAAAGTAAGAAATAAAATTAACAACAACAAACATACAACTCGATCACACAGCAGTCACACATCAGTCAGCAACAAGGCAACAAGGTACAACAGCAACCCGCAGGTACAACAACATTTAAATGCTGTAAAAAAATAAATGCTACAACATTTTAAATGCTTTCACTTTTTGAAGCACTCTTTTAAATCTAAGTGAATCCTAATTCTGTATTAAAACATTCTGTTTAATTTCTTTGAATTTGGTAGAGACAGATTTGTTTTAATGAAGAGTTAAGTTTAGTTCTTCGATTTAAAAAAGTGCCACAACTTTTACAATGACTCAACTTAGATCTTGTGGGATCCCTTCTTGGTGTGGATGATGGTTTCGTAAACAGGCACCTTGAAAGGCACAGGCTTTTCTACAGGCACAATGATGTGCTTGATCACCTCAAAAGGCACCTCTTTGATTTTAGGCACGTGAACGGTTTTCTCTACTGGGTACGGGACTGACTTCTCCACAGGGATGGACACTTCTTTGATGATGGGGATGACGACGGCCTTAGGGACGGGCACTTGAATTGGGACTGGGTGGGGTACAGGGATCAGGACTGGCTGGTTAATTTTGAACTCTACGTTCTTGGGTACAGGGACGACAATTTCTTTATAGTGCTTGATGGGCTCGGGGTTTTCTTCTTCCACGTGCTGGTGGACGGGGTAGGAGTGGGCCTTGAAGTCGTGGCCTCCGAAGCTATGACCGCCAAGGTCATCGTGTCCTCCTTCAGAACCGCCAAAGTCATAGCCTCCAGAGTAGTCGCTCGGTTGGAACTGAAACAAAGAGGAATATGGATTAAATTCACTGTAATTAACGTTTTAAACTTAAACTTGCTGATAACTATATTATGAGGCGAGGCGAACTTTTCTTAGAAGTCCGTTGCGACTTGGTTTGGAATTTATGAATTCAGGTTTATTTGTTTCAGTAGGTAATTTTCATCTTTGAGTAGCTAATTAAAAGTTGGATGTTAGACATAATCGATAGAATAACTAATTATGCTCGTAGCAGTATCTACTTTATCAACATAAAACTTAAAATTGAAATATTCAAACGTGCGGCCTATACAAAATTCATGAAACTAAAAGTTTTTCAATTTAAAACTGCATAAAGCTGCTATGCATGGTGTGACCTAATACTTCCATCGTCACATCAAAACCATCAAGTGGCGTTGCAACAGAATAAAATTAAACGTTTTTGTTGCCGGAACGCCGTTTCGCGCCAATTTAATAACGGTAAAACGAGTTGGCGGCAAAAAAGCAAAATGGCGGGCGACAGTGGCTCCGCTCGCGTTTTGTTTGCATTTTTTTGCTTTTTTAACTTTCATTAACATTTTATTTCCGTTTGGCGAGATTATTCAATAGGTTCCGTAATATCAGACTCGGTTTTATTTTCTGTATTCGATTCGTTACACTTTTTAGCTTGCATAATGATAATATTGGTGTTAGTGTAAGGTGAGGCGCGTATTACGTCAGAATGAGAAAAAAGTTTAAAGCTTTTTACGGTCTATTTCATTACCCTCTATTCTAAAGTATAAAAATGCAATCAAATTGTATTTACTTTAGAAGAAGGAATTGGATTGAAAAAGCTCATCATCTCAATTTATTTTGTTATTTAAAATAACAAAGTCTATGCATTCAATTTGAATATTGCCAAGAGTCATCATCTAATCTGCTGCTAGATTAAAGAACTGAATAAAAACACAGCTATTTTCAAGGTAATTTCCTTGCTTTACCATTTACCCTTGCATTTCTTTTCCCTTTAAATATTTTCTTTCACCGGTAAATTGAATTTCTGTTGGACTGCAATACGTTTAAAAAATATTTTGTATACAAAGTTTTTGCCCGCGGTTACTAATGCAAGCTTTATCAACTTTCTTAAATCTAGATCTATGAGAGTCGACTTTATAGATGTTGTCAAAAGTCGAAAAGTACAAAAACAAATTGATTACTTTTTCCTTTTAAATAAAGCCGCGAAGCTGTCGGTGGTCTTGGTGTGTAGAGTCCTTAAGGGAAACATCAGGCTTCCAATGAGCTATCGTTTTTATACTTAACAGTTGGCACCCCTGGCGATTGACAGGACCTTACTCTACAGTGGCGCCATCTTGATGAGTGCAAATGCGATAGTCCTCCTACCACTTTAGCGCTCACCAGTTGGTGCCACTGTCTTTGCTACTAGCAAGTGACAGGACCTTACTCTACAGTGGCGCCAACTGGTGAGCGCTAAAACGATAGCCCTCATTGAGTAAATGGCTCAACTGACAGTCGCATTACTTCAACTTTTTCCATTTTGCTAACGATCCGGAACTGTTCATAGTTTAACGTGGTAATCCTCTACAAACTACACCTCCACCGCAGTGCAGATGCCCCCAAATCGCATTATATTTCGTTACGAATAGTAATGTGTAGATATCGAGTCTAAATTCAGTGAAAACATCGATAGATTTCTTACATTGTAAACTTTCGGTCAAAAAACGAAATCAAAATGGTTAATAAGAGTTAGATTTAGCATTATAAAAATGTCTTGGTAACTTTTACAGCAGCACATATAGTTTTTTAATTTGTTAATTTGAAAAAGTTGTTGATAAGATGACTTTAGTGAAAATACACCTAGCTTGTTCACTTTATTACTCTTCAATTCATCTTTTACAGTGAGATTGAGAATAATCTTGTCTCATCTAAAAATATGACAAATATCAGACATTTTGTTTGACTGGTCCTCGAATTTGATGTGTTTCCTAAATACTATCCAAAGTTCGAGTAACTATTATATCGATATTCTTATAACAGCATTCCCAACGAACCACATAAAAGTAAAATTCAGATTAACCGACCATCCCCCACCACTAGTCAGAGCTGAAACCCAGCAGCCACCTGGAATCTCCTTTATAATAAAAAAATATAAGACCCTCACATCGTAACCTCCCTTTATGGGCTTTTATATTTTCTCTTAGCAAAAAACATTGCGATTTTAGTGTCTGGGGTTCCGTAGGCGGCAGATTGAGACGGATCGCGTGAGGGCACCCGTTTACTGGTGATTTACTGAGATCTGGATGAAGGTTGAAAGGAAGGAATAGTGATATATCTTCAAACTAGAGCTCTAATTTTGCACGTAAGCACTCAAGTTAGAAATTGCTTGGTAAGTATTTAGGCACGACGTGAATTCTTAAAGGATGAGTTATGCCTTCTTTTAAATAATAATGTGCAAATTGGACAACGAAACGTTACAAATTCATATTCTTTATTAGTATGCGTCCCAAATATAGCTTGCCCTATAGCAAAAATATGGTGAGTGACCATCGACATGTAAATCAAAAGAAGTATTTATTTAGCTTCTAAACTGACTCCTTTTACTTATTCTAAAACCAAACATCTACGAGTATGTAAAAAGTAAGCCCAACTGTAAATGCTATTGATAAAATAAAGTCTTGCACGATACCAAGAAGATTATTTAGACTCAATATGGCATTCCACATAAATTATGCCAGTTTTACATTCCAATGCATTCCATTTTTCTTTCCAGTCGTTTTGGCATACTCCAATACCTCCATTGAACTGCAGATTAAATAAGCGACTATGAAAACCAGCGGAACAGAAATATGACTGATTTAAAGCGAAGACCAGCAGACTCAATAGACTTCCCTGCATATTTAAATGAGCAAATTGTCAATAGAAAATAATAAATACTAAGACACGACTTCTTTAAATCACTGCTTTCTGGCTAACGGTAACCTGAAGGTAAGGTAAAATGTCCATCGTTGACAAATTTTTAATTTACATCATCATCATCGTCATTATTTTTATTTAATGAAAGTCCACTGCTGGACTAGCAAGGCAAGAGCGCCAAAGAGCATCTCCTGCTTTTTTCACCCAGCAGGGGCAGCTTCTTGAAGTCTTTGATTCATATCGACTTTGATATTTTATTTAAATAAATATCCTTGGACATTTAACACTGCGCTTCTAGTCCCAAACTAAGCAAAGCTTGTACTATGGGTACTAGACAACGGATATAAACATACTTAAATACTTTTTTTTTGTAAATACATACATATTATACATAGAAAAACACCCGGTCCAATACAAACAAATATGTTCATGCACACAAATGTTTGTACTGTGCGGGAATCGAACCCGCTACCTTCGGGATAGTAGTCCGTTTCGAACCACTACACCAAACGGCCGACTATGTCTCAACTATATTTGAATTATATCATCATCTTCAAGTCATTCAGTGTTTTCCAGAGGCTAACGGAGGTTTTGACCCACATTACCCACGCTTCCATGGCCAGACCAGAATTGTAATAATCTGCGATAACATTTAGATAGTTTTAAATAGAGTAGAGTCTATGCGGTCACATTGTCTGTAGAAACGCAAACATCCTGAGTTTTACAGAATTTCTATTTACACCCAATACTGCAGCGGGGGATGTAATTAAACCTCTTGAGCTTTCCCATTTGAGCTTTGATTCCACCGGCATTTTGCGGGGACTTTCATTTGAGTTTATTTTTCAGTGAATAGAGGTGAGATATTCCTAGTTAGTTAGAGGATTCAGTGAATAATTACAACGGAAAATGGTTCTTAAATGTAAATAAGGCATAAAGTGTGATCCTGGAAATAGAGGCGTCATGATTCCAGTCGTTAAGCAGAAGTAGTGCTAGATGACTCCATCTTTGTGAATTAAAGCCTTGATTGATTTCTGCAGAATACCTTTTTAGGCGGTGTAAAAGCGTTTCTTGAAAGCCTACTTACAGAAAATATATAAGTATTAAGAGATTTTTATGAGTTTCATGGTCGATATTCTGCACCAGGCAGGATAGAAGCTCTGATACCGATTTCCTTACATTAACTTCTTCTAAGCCCTATCTACAATATTGAACTGTACCTGATTGGTCAATGATAGTCTAACCTCGCTACATGACCTTGTATTTCTCAAAATACCTTCAAAAAATCTTCGTCACAAGGTAACTTCTTAGGTGTAGAAAAAAGTTTTCCTATCACTTACCAAGTTAAATATCAATTACAAATTGCGAGTCTGGAAACTTTAGCTGTGCTTTAGCGTTAAATTCAGGTTAAGTTACGGAGTTCTTTGAACTGCGTGTCCATTTATAGAATCAGTGTTACTCATTAAAACTTTGGTTTCCATGCAATAGAACCCAAGTAAGTTAATTAGTGATTAACACTTGTATTTGAATTAGAACTAACTTATTTCACACGTAGATAGGTACCAAAATCTCTAGTAGTGTATGCCTTTATTATGAAACTCGATTCAAACTTGAGAACAAATTCAAGTGCTCAGTTTTGGAACTTATCTAGAATTTAGCATAAGTGCAGATTTATGTCTTATTTTCAGAGTCGGTTTCGGTTTCAGTTTCAGTCAACGAATAGAGTTTTTACAGTAAAAATTAACCCCAGACACTTTAGTAGGATTAGGCTTAGGGTTTTTGCATTTAAGATGCTAACTTATCACAATTTTCAAATTTAAAAAAGTGAGTTCAATTACCCTCAGAGGCAGACTTTTCAAGTCTTAATACAAATTGTTGATTATTTATAAACTTATCTGACGGAACCACAGGTAATAACACCGCCTCTAGCCTCCCCAGTTTTTTTCCAAAGACCTGAAGGCAAGTGTGCGTACGGATTCCCACTGAATTTTTAATGTTTCTGCGAAATCTTGCTTTTATAGCCCAACATCAAAGGCTGAATTAAAAAACACGCAGAGGGAACTATTCTGGCAACACTCGTTAGCTTTGTAGAGCCGTCTCTATTGTTTTCGTTCATTAGGTCGCGCCAGTCTTTGGTATACGCAATTAAAATTGTTTTTGAAGCAAACAGAATGGTAACTTTTGTCTCTCGTTATTTGTTCAGTGCGATCCATAGCAATACTATTTTTAAACTACTTTTTGAGAAATTCTTTCGACCTACGTTTTTAATTGGACTTAAGTTAAAAATTTCAGTCAAAACTGAACTTTGGAAATTATCTTACTTTCTTACACTTTGTGTAAAATACAAGATCAGTATGTACGAGATCGTTAACAATCAGTAGATTTTTGAACAACTAACTCAAAATTAGAGTAGGATTTTTTTTACTAAAATCCACTGTTACTCTAACTCCTCACCTACTAAACCATGTCCGCATTTTGAAATTAATTAACGACCGAACTCCGATCCCATTATCAGTGGCTTATTTATACCCTTCGTAAATATTGAATTGTTATTACGTTGACATGTTACATTGTCGAACGGTTCCCAAATAGCTCCCTCGCCACTCGTCGTATTGAGACGATTCGAAAGGGAATAAGGGGCTCACTCCTCATCCATTTACTTGATCTACAGGATCTACGTCATTGAGGCTTATACTGTAAACCTTATTTGTTTTGGCCTTTGTTTAATAATTGACGATAGACATGTTGAATTGTTCGCGTAGGTGCGATGTCTTTCTATGTAGAGTTACTTTCCAAGGTGAGAGTGAATAGGCATTTTTACAAGAACTAACAATTACCACTATTAATGGTCAATTTTCAAACAGGGTATGTACCACCCTAGACTGCATCTCACTTAATATCAGGTGTGGTTGCCTGAAAAACCTGCATCAAATAATATAATTCCTGCCTTGATCTGTATCAAAAATACTATGGACCAATTTACTAAGGTTATAGGATAGATTAAGGTTTTTGTGGTTCTATCAGTATGAAAAGCCCAACGGGATTCGATCCAGCAACTTCTGAATGCGTCCAGAAATGAACCACTAAGCCCTGATCTTGACCTGATTTTTTCCCGCCGATATCATCTATAATAACCTATCTTTATGACGTCAGCAAACATACCTGTTGGTCCTGCTGTTGGATCTGGTACTGCTGCATCTGCTGCTGCATTTCGGGATAGAAGCTCCATTGCTGTTGCTGAGCTGATGCTGACGCTGACGCTACCGCGACAAGTGCGCTGACGATCTGGAAAATGTATGGTATTGTTTTAACGCAGTCAACAAACGGGTTTCGATTCTAGTAAATCAAGTAATATGAAAGATCCACTCTTTGGTAGTTTTATCGAATTTGAAATAAGTTTAACTTTGTTATGGCATTGTTTTTTAGGATTTGAATGAATAAAAACTACGTATGTAAAGTACAACTATTTACTCGTAGTAGTTGTATCTTTAGTAGAGTTCATTTTAGTGTCAGTAACATATAAAGAAAGCAAACGAAAACTTATTGTGATTGAATTAGTAAATTCATAAATCTTATATTCCATAATGACCGAAAGAAAAATAAAATTATTTTGAAATCTGTCAAAACACTGGCCATTTTCGCTATTTTCCGCCTAAATAAAAACTAAACTGGCGTGAAAAACTGACACAGACTAAAAATATTTCGCGGGCTTTTCTGAAAAAAGGAAAAATTCACAGAATAAAACAGGCCAGTCACACAATCGCGCGGCTGTTACACAATATCGGAGTGTTGGAACGCGTATACCGTATCACTCGTCAAGTCGTCACTCAAAATCATAGAGAAATAAATCACTAGATGAATGTCATGAAGACTGTAATAAAGACGAATTTCCTACGAATTATCTAGTAAACAGGGTATTATGCCATGTGGATGTTCTAACTTATTGGCTTTTGAAAATAAAACTTTTTTTTTTCAAGTTACCACTAAATATCCTCTTTTGTAAAGTCGAATCACTCATCATAATCAGACACAATAGTCCAGTCAATGAATGCCTTAACGACGGTGTAGAGAGAAATCCGTGGAACACAATTTCTGACCTCGGGACTTTATTTAGCCTAGTTAGGTGGTGAACATAGCAAAAGTCCCCGCCCTTAGCCCTTGAGCCAGCGGGGAGAGGGGGGTTTAAAGGTACCACTTTTCGGTTTTTCGCTTAATCCTCGGAAACTATGCGTCCTAGTGACATGACTACTATGAACCAAAAAAAGCTTATTCAATTTGCTACAGGTGAGACCGTCAAGTTTTTCTATATCTTGTATAGTTTTTGCGGCATCTGCTCTAGAAAGTCCCCTCCCTGGAACTAGGCTTAACATGCTCCCGCATGTCTAGAATGATTGCTCAATGTTGATTTAGTTGATTTTCTCCTGATGGGAACATGTAAGACAAAAATAAAATTTCCAATATTGCAGACCTTCTAGAGCAGATGCCGCGAAAACTATACAATTTATAGAAAAACTTGACTATCTCACCTGTAGAAAATTGAATATGCTTTTTTTGGTTCATAGTAGTCATGTCACTAGGACGCATAGTTTTCGAGGATTAAGAGAAAAACCCGAAAAGTGGCAACTTTAAACCCCCCTCACCCCGCCGGCTCAAGGGCCAAGGGCGGGGACTTTTGCTATGTTCACCTCCTAACTAGTCTAAATAAAGTCCTGAAGTCAGAAATTGTGTTCTACAGTTTTCCATCTATAATGCTTTATTGACTGGACTACAATCCATTTTTGTTGCGAAATAGCTACACGTTACTTCATAATCTTGCTATCGCAAAATAGAGCCTTTTTTTTGACCATACAAAAACTACTTTCTATTCGTTCTGAATTTACATGTTGCACAGACGCATCTAGTAATTTACGTCAGCCGTCACGCGTATCGGGATCAGTTCCGGAATTGTTTCACTTGATTTTTTCTTTTTTTTAGTCGGGCAACCACTCGCTGCCTCGACTTTTATGTTCTATTTTTGAACGGTGGCTAACAAGCAAATATGTGACTACCTTCACAAATATTTAAACATTGCATGCTCTGCGTGCTTTTTAATATCTTACTAGAGCCGTAATTGAGCAATACAGCCAAATAATTTGAGGTGGCAATAGCCCAGCTTTGTCAGTATTGAACTGCTGATTAAAAGGTCAGTGCAAATCCCTCATCCGCTGGGGTACAGTGGTGAACCCACTCCTATAGTTTAAAACAATAAAATACGATTAAAACAATTAATCAAAAAATTCCCGCCAAAACAACGACCTTCCATCGGGGGCAAAAATCTAGCGAGCGCGACCGCGACATTTCTCGCGCGTTCGGTTTTTACGAAACATTAAACAAGTGTCAAACGACGCCGCACGCGCGCGGTCAGATACGCCGCCATTATGGAGTTAGGGTCACCGTGATAGTATGAAAATATGGGATAAATCAATTAATTGTCTAACAAGAATGAGACTCCCACTTGACTGTTGCTATTGTTTGAATTCCCTCCCAAAGTAGTGGTATCCAAGGAAAAGCGATGCATGCGATGTTTACCTTAAATTAATTGTACATTAGTTATTACCACTTTGGCTGTATGTATGCTGTGTAAGCATCAATGTAACAATTTCTGGTAAACCAAATAAAATAAAAAACTCCAGATAAATTATTATTAAAAAAGCCTTTTTAAAAACAAACTTTTATCATGGCCATCTTCTGGCTCCATTCGTCAGATAAGAACCGCCTCGATGTCATCCAAGACCGGATTGTCCGGAGTAATTATAAAGACAAATCAAATGAGCCCAAACTCGACATGATTTCATTTGAAACAAATACCTATCTTTATTTGCACTGTGTGGAAGACATGCAAGAAAAAACTGCTATATAACTATCCACAAATTTTCAAAACCATCGTCACCCTACCATTTATTGTATAGGTTTTTGAGTAATGGCACAGAACAATCCTAATAAATAGCTGTAACTGGCGCCATAACGAGATGTGTACTCGGTATCAGTAGCAACACTAACGCTGAGTTGCACCACCTAACTTTGACCGTAACTATAACGATAACTGGCGATTTTGTATGGAGTTTGACAGATTTTAGATGTTTGTTAAAAGTCAAAGTAAGATGGTGCAACCCAGCCTTACAGTAGCGTTAACGATGCGAATCCACTGCTCTTTTCTCACAAAGGATTTTGTTTTTGCTTAATGTAGAGTAAATAAATGCTTTCTTGATACTAAAAACTTATTAAGCACAAACGAACTAGGTATCTTCTTTATTAGTAAAAACTGAACAAAAATCAAGTACCTAAACAATATTCATGAGAAAAAGCTTATAACTTTATCTAATTTCCATAAAATATTACGTTCATTGAGATAGAGACAATTTTTTTTTCTATACATATACCTACTTTTTTTCATATAAGTATCTCAAAAGTAAACAGTCTATGAAATAGGTAGAATTATTTTTTTAGTGTTTATTTAATCATACAAATTGTACTTTACCCGAATTAACTACACCTACATTAAACAACTATGAATTTAACAGCTTAAAAGACCTGAAAATAGCTGCAATTTTCTCTCGGAACACACGAAATCATATTCGCACCGATACCGCTGGTCTATCGAACGCCGCTGAGCTGTTAATCTGGGCTATAAATAACGACAGAAGCTGACTCCGCTGGCTACATACGTGCTGTAAGTCACAGCTAGGGTTCTTTGTTGGGAAACACACGGTAAGATATTGCGAGCGGGGATGCTGCGTCTAAAACGTTTCAAATTCATAACGGTTAAAAAATAGATTTTGTTTCATGATTAAGTGGCAAGAAACAAAACAAACATGCATGAAATTTTTAACTGACTACACCTTCGTTGATGAAACTTGCCCGTCATTAATAACTAAAGTAATTTTTACTTGTTTTAACTAAAGTAAAATGGCTTTCAATCAAAAAAATATTACTACCCTCTAAAGTTTGAGTAGTCTATTAGTAAAACAGTCAAATAGACCTATAGTTATGTTTGTTTGTGATTATTTAATAATTACTTTTTCTTACAATAAAATAAACATTTTTGGCACAAAGCGACAAAGAATTCATTAGTCGTTAAATCGTGCTTGTAGCACTGTATAATATTTTTATAATCCCTACTAATATTATAAATGCGAAAGTAACTCTGTCTGTCTGTCTGTCTGTTACGCTTTCACGCCTAAACCACTGAACTAATTTTGATGAAATTTGGCATAGAGATAGTTTGAATTCCGGGAACGGACATAGGATAGTTTTTATCCCGGTTTTTGAAACAGGGACGCGCGCGATAAAGTTTTTCTGTGACAGAAAAAATTCCACGCGGGCGAAGCCGCGGGCGGAAAGCTAGTTAGGGAATAAAACTAAAGCACCACTAAAGATTATACTGTATACGTTACTACTGTTGTATTACGACAGTGCTTACTTCCGGTTCCCAGCAGATGAATCATTACGTCACTGTTAACTCGCACTTACAGTTTTATCTCTATCACGTTCCGGCGGTCTTAAAGGGCCCGCTCGTAAAGTCCTCCCGTGTGTTTACAACTTCATAAACCTTTTTACAGTTGGCCACCACCCGGATAGCCACTTAATGCATTGTTGTTTGCAACTTCGTTATTTATAACGGTTATTAACGGTACACCATGAAATAACGTTAAAATATTTATTAGTTAAATTGCCGCAGTACTGAGTAATGAAACGTAAACAAATACGCTTAAAGTTTGTAAATGAACGGAAAAAGACAATGCCGGAAATTGGCGTCTTTTTTTTTTCGCGCGGCCATCGACTAAACCTTGTTTTTTGATTACAAAATAGTGTAATAAACCAAACTTACTATGACATGTATACCTCTAAACTCAGTCTGAACTGAGTTACGAGCATCAGAAGTTTGATGATTTTCATACTAGATTTGCTGTTTGCGCGCAAGTTTTGTAAGAAATTGCAACAAAATAATGACATTGTATGTGTAAACAAACAATACCATCCATTAAAGGCTCCAGACATCAGTATGCAGCAGAATCAGAGCAAATAAAAAAATAACGCAATATTTTGTTACAATTTCTTGGAAAACTTGCGCGCAAAAAGCAAATCTAGTATGAAAATCATTAAACTTCTAATGCTCGTAACTCAGTTCAGACTGAGTTTAGAGGTATACATGCCATAGTAAGTTTGGTTCATTACACTGTTTTGTAATCAAAAAACAAAGTTTGGTCGATGGCCGCGCGAAAAAAAAAAGACGCCACCTTCCATACAAAATCTGGCATTGCCATTTCATTGAAAACTGTTATTTTAGTAATATTTACTGGCCTATTTGTTATTTTAATTGTGTGCTTACATTGTCACACATTTAAGCATCAAAATATTGGTTTTAATGTTATACGTGATGCCATAACGAAAGGATAAGGAGTTTTCACTTCAAAAGCACTAAAACTAAGATTTGAACAAATATTTGCACTCACATAAAATTGCACTGCACACATTTTGTTGTCTCTTTCAAGTCACGGATAGTTGTGATGTCACAATAAAATTGCGTGCCATTTTTATACTAGTGACAGGGCGTTCGAATTTCAAATGTTTGAGTGCTTACTTGCCGCCTTTTTCGTTTTGCTCCATATTAGATACCAGTCTAACTTGGTCCACGTTATTTTGCTTTAGACGAAGTGAGACAGATCTGTCTCATCTGGCTACGTTATATCACTGCCAGAACCGGGCGCTTCTAATTTCAAACGATACTTTTAGAACTGCTGTACATTGACCAGTTTGTAACGAAAATAAATTCTCAGTCAATGTAAAACCAGCAATGTATTAAATGTAAGATGATGTGACAGGCACTGCGGAAGTTCTAGTTCCGTAGTACGAGTTGTTCTTTTTATCCGTTGTCGTTTTTCACGTTTTGGCGCGAAAGGTAATTGAATGAACTCCAAAGCGATGATGTGTTATCTGATTGATGTAAATGGAGCAGATGTGTGTGGAATACGTAACAGTGAAATATTACGTGATATTAGTTTTTCGGCACAATTATTACATACCTAATGTGGTTGGTTTCAACCTTCACCGACCGTTGTTATTTTTAAAAAAAGAAAAAAGAATCGCTCTACATTCGGGCATTCGTCCATTGTTTTTTTCTTTCTTAAATCTGCACTGGAAAATCGGATCCCCATGAAGTTATGATAAATGAGCACTGAGCAGTTTGTTATTATTAGTTCAGAAAAAGTCAAGAATATAGTGAAAAAAAACTCTAAGTATCCGATTCAAAAAAGGCAAAGGATGATGGGCATATTGGGCGTTAAACCAACAGAAACAAAAAGTATACTAAATTAAAGCTTAATACTAGTACTTCATTTCATAGTATGACAACAACCCTGAAATACGCGGGGATACGGAGATAGAGGTCGTTGAATATGCAAAGTTTCCATAGTATTTCACATCACATTGGGGTAATAAAAATTGTATTAGGTCAATTAGATTGCTTTTATCGATTATATTGAGAGTATTATTTCATATCTTTCTATAGATTCTATCGATTTAGTAAGTATGTATACCGAATAAATATTAATCGATTATTCGATTGCAATAATCGATTATATTGCTGAAAATAAGAAATTGAATTAACAATTAAATGATAGTAATGATGGTAATCAATAAAATCGATTAATCGAATAGTTAATCGATAAATCGTTATTTGGCAATATCGATTAATAATCGATCCGTGATCGATTATGCAACAACACTACAACTTAACTGGTAGAAATCTCATTGAAACATGACTGTGTTCATGTCATTTCTCTAATTGGTACCTAGGTATGGTCCTACGCTTATAATGTAGAAGATGGTTTAAATATACCATTTGTTGGCCCAACTCCTGAACTGTTGGACATATATAATGGATAAATAACTTAATGTATTTAAAATGTAAGTAAATAAGTTATATTAAGTAATAATATTTTTTGTTTGCGCAATGAAGCACATATTACTATTACACATTATGTCAATTTTCAAGCAAACCCGGGAGTTTTTGGTAGTTATTTATATGAAAATATATTTCTGGTATTAAGTCCTAACAAATAATAGTAGTTACATTTCTGTTGGTTTTACGCCCAGATTCCATAGAAAAGTGCCCATCATCCTTTAAGGTTTTTTTATGGGATCAAGCTAGGGATCAATTATTAAATAAAGATTTCACTGTAGGCCACTGCTGGCAGATCTGAAAAACGTTGGGGGAGGCCTGTGTTCAGCAATGAACGTCCTGAGGCTGAATCGGCTGAAATGATAATGATGATGATGAGGAAAACAATTTTTGATATGGAAAAGTGTTTACTTTTTTCAGTTACTTAGTCATAGGATTTTTCAGAATCAACTACCTACTTTCTGGTATCTCGAAAGACAAAAATCCATTTCCTGTAAACTTTATTCTCTGATCATTATATTTTTAATGAAAATACTACTTCCAAGTATTTAAACATCGCTACAACTACTAAAGCTAAAGAAATTGTATGGGAATAAAATCGCGCAGTTTATTTACTATAACGAAGACAAGCAGCCTTCCTTGACGCATAGCCCAATATACCAAATGGGAGTCACTAGAATTTTAGAGTTATCTAACTGAAAAATGTGCGCACTTATCTATAGCGCAGCTAACGAGCAAAACGTAGAAGAAACTTCTTTAGACTCGAATTATTTTGATAACAAACTGGAATAGATTTAAACTCTAGCGCTCGAAGCTCCAAATTCAAAACCAAGCATAAATATATCATATCGTTTGTACGTTCGTTTCAGCCAAATGACGTCCACAACTAGACAAAGGCTTCCCTCAAGGATTTCTACAACGAACGGTCCTGGGCCACCCGTATCCAGGCACCTCAGTCGACCTTCAGCAGATTAACTTATGCCTGCACAGATAAATTTTTTATTGATCCATCTTGTTATTGACACACATGAAATGATATCTTGGACTCTACTTGTCTGTCGTTTCGCTTTTGGCATGGCGATTGTGGTCACGTTGAGGCGTCCATACTTAATGTTAATGTTAATGGTAATAAATTGTTAATGGTAGAGTTGGATAGGTACCTACAGTTCTCTTCAAGATCTCTTGCCATCTCTCCCTGTTGGCAGACTACCTGGTGCAATCAGTCAGATACGCGTTTCCCACTGCGGATTTCATTTGGTCAGCACAGCGCATAAGTGATCTGCCACGCGATCTGGTTCCCTCAACTATTCCCTTCTTCTTTTCGTGTCGACAACAAACCTACACAGTGTCAGCCCAAAACTATTCTCTGAGCGACAGTCACTCTATACTTCTATGGTATTGTCATTGGTAGTTGATCGTTAATGAAAGAAATGGGTAAGACTCTGTTTATCTCTTTTACTTCTATGTTCATTCCGTTCACGTTCTAAAGGAGCGGGTGGCGCGTTATAAGTCAGCCTGCTGGTGCCAGCCGGACGGACGGATGGGACTTCCAAAATACTTCCTAATAGCATGCTAAGATGGCTTTGGTTATAACACAGAGATGTCTTTAGAAAGATTTCCTGTTTGATACTGTATCCATAATACCTTGGGGGTCATCCATAAAGTACGTAACACGTAAAGAGGGGGGGAGGGGGTCGACAAAGTGTGACATGGTGTGACAAGGGGTGGGAGGGGTCTTAAGTTTCGTGACATCACATTTCAAAATCTAATATATCTAGAGGTACTAATCGCGTAATTTGTTATAAATTATACTAAAAAATACCCCCACCACTTAATCACAACTTCGTCGAAGTCGAAAACCTAGGAGAGTTAATGGGCAACCAATGAAGACATTAAATCAATAAAATCTTTTGTAGGAATTATTTCAGATTTAAAATCTAATTCTACTGGCCTATAATGTTGCCAAACGCACCGTACCTCGCGCGTGATTTTATTGTTTCTATTTGTTGCTATTTTTTTTGTTAATTTAATAATTTTTCGATGTGAAATTGNATCTAATTCTACTGGCCTATAATGTTGCCAAACGCACCGTACCTCGCGCGTGATTTTATTGTTTCTATTTGTTGCTATTTTTTTTGTTAATTTAATAATTTTTCGATGTGAAATTGCAAAACATGTGACGTCACACTAGGGAGGGGGGGGGGGTCTTAGAAATGTGACCACCTGGACAAGGACGGGGGGGGGGTCAAAAAATCATGAAATTCGTGTGACGTACCTAGGGAACGGCTATAGGAAAACCTTTTTTTCAGGAACTTTAATATTTTCAAGTTTACGAAACATGTTACGTCTGAAAATGCTCAATGGCAAGATGTAACAGTTCTTCTAAACTTTGGAATATTTTTTCTTAGGGGTTCAATTCAATAGGATGTACATTTATAAACGTGTTAAAAAAAATTGATAACGCATTTTCACAGTCTCCGTTTTCTATTCTGTTCTGCTGGGCCTTACTTACTTTGTGTAGATGGCAAAATTAGCGTGTGATAAAAATCAATTTGATTATGGATGCAATTAATTATTGAGTATTGAGTAATAGATGATATCAGAGCTTCTTATTTCCATGTTAAGTCTAGACTCCAGAATCTAGACTAGATATTGAAAGTTGTCATTAGGTTGTAGAGCGAAAACAACTGGTCATTTAGAAAGCTACTGGAGCAAATAACTTAGCGTTTATTTTGATTATTTTTAATAATCGTCTTTAGTGTACAGTTGGTAACACTTACTAACTAGTTATGTAATATCGGATGATAATGTGTAGAATCGCCTACAACTGGATAGTCACGCAGTAAAGTGGGAAAAACTGTATCATTCATAATTTTAAGGTTTACTTATAACCAGCAGGTACATAATAATATTATTATCTGCTCTGTAATGTAAAAAATACTATTTATATTTAGCAAACGACTTTCCCTAGCTTGGTACGAGTAGTAGAGCGTAAAAGAGTCTTCTTGATCTTGTTACACAGCGTATACATGTGTGTGAAAGTCCTTTTTTAAGCTTATAATGCATAAATTGCCCACTTACTATTGTTCTAAATAAATTCCTGTTACTCAGTGAGAAAACGTTTACAAAGACCCACTTATCCAAAGGACTTCGGGTGTCAGAATGGGGCACAATTCATCTCCGCAAATCTACAATAAACACTAACTCGGATGCTCCACATTACCCCGGCTTCCTCTGCTTAATAACGCCTTTGTTCTTTGTCATTATCGTCTAGACATTGTCTCTGTAGATTACGGCTGAGGGGGTATTCTGGTGACGGTAGAGAATGTCGAGCATTTTTGAGAAATTTTAACCGACTTTTTTATCTAAAATTTTTTTTTATCGTTTTAATAATCACATGAGTGTGGATAAAAATAAAGAAAAAAAATAGTCACATACTAAGCGTAAACCCCTTGAGTGTTTTCTTTATAAAATCGTAAGCTCGTAAGACTTTGATTTTATAGCACATCAATGTTTAATTTTACGATGAGAGAGCTAAGTAAGTACTGCCGACAAACAGTTAAGTATTTGGCAGATATTGTATTTTAGAAACGAAATTAAAATAAGATAGGACAGGTATCACAGCTTTAAACCTAACTTATGGCCCGCTTCATCATCATCATTTCACCCATAGGACGTCCACTGCTGAATATTATGACCCTCTTGCTTAGTGTGAATATCATTAACATTACATTAGCTGTTATGTAGTATCTTAAAAACGCACAATCAGATGTTTTTACAAAAGCTAATTCCCATCAAAATGTAGAGTCATTTGCGTAAACTCATATTAACGCCTACTTTTTACATCATTTTCATAATTTGTTTACTTTTTTTTTTGAGACAGTGCTAAGTGGACCGTGGCTGCACGAAATTTAATTTGCTTGATGAAATACCGTAACTAAATAAATAAACGAGAAAGGTTTAATTTTTTTAGGTTCAGGCCTTTTGGCAAATACAAATACCCCTACTAGTTTTATTTACAAACGTAATTTATTGTAGGTATACATAAGTAACTAGCATTGTTCTATTTATGCGAGAAAAGGCTCTACAGCAATAATACCAAAAGATTTCTTAATTATGAAATGTAATAAAAAAGCATTACTTTGGTGACTCTTGTGCACAAAAATGCCCCAAATTGTCGTGATCCTGCACCACATGGTACCTACACAAGAGGTAAGTAGTTTGTGCCTACTTTAATGAAAATGACAATACTTAGATTGTCCAGGAACGTGGGTCCTCATGACGTAAAATAACCACCATTATAAAGTACTACTGAGGCTCGCGATCACACCTAGTTAGATTCATTCAAGTCTACAAACCAAGAAAGCAATCTCATTGTCAGTGGTTAGTTTTTTTATCTCTACATTGACATCTACATTGACAATCGATAGCCGAGAATGAATAGATTAAGATATCCAGCAGAGGCTTGATGATAAAAGCGGCAAGTACTTTATTATTGCTCTGCTTTGTGATGATCCTTTGAGTTCGTTTGGAAGGCTTCAACGTCCTGCTGGACTGACATAGCTAATTTATTGGAGTGTGTCAGCAGCTCACGTTATTGTCCCAGAGCCTTCCTTTATAAAAGGGACTCACTGATGAAGGTTGCGGGTTGTACGCACATGGATGCAGGTAGCGCGGGCCCAGTCGTCGTGGAAATCTTTAGGGGAGGACTTTGTCCAGTAGTCGACGTCATTTGACTGAAACTACTTATGGCTCGGAAACGTGGCCTCTCACTATAGGCCTTATACAGAAGCTCAAAGTTGCACAGCGTGCTATGGAGAGGGCTATGGTTGGTGTTTCATTGCAAGATCGAATCAGAAATGAGGAGATCCGTAAACGAACCAAAGTCGCTGACATAGCCCGACGGATTAGCAAGCTGAAGTGGCAATGTTCAGGGCACATAGTACGCAGAACTGACGGCAGATGGGGCAGAAAGGTTCTGGAATGGAGGCCGCGCACCGGAAAACGCAGCGTGGGACGTCCACCTACAAGGAGGACCGACGACATCGTAAAGTTAGCAGGGAAGCGCTGGACACAAGCCGCTACCAATCGATTAACATGGAAAGTATTGGGGTAAGTAGGCCTATGTTCAGCAGTGGACGTCCTATGGCTGAAATGATGAACGAGCGGTAAAAAGGAGCTGTAAAGTCGCACGATTCCATGATAGCCCCCGGGATGGAAGCAGACGAGCGCATTTCCGGTCGCGTGCTACAGCCGAGCACGTCTTTCTAGACTCGTTAGATACGTCTGCCTAGATTTGTAGCCTCGCGTTACGTTACTTTGTTTTTGACATGCTCCGGTATAATTATGTAGCTTACATAATAATTGGTTGGTCTGCAGAAACCACCGATTTCACAGAAAAAAACTTCCGAGTGCATAATGATTCCCAAAATAGCTTCTTATGTAGCAATTCATGACATTAATGTATCAACTGCAACTGGTGAAAGCGATTTAATTTGATTACCGTTGAGTTTATCAGTTGCACATGATTGATGACTATGACCTGAGCCCCGATTACGGTAACTTTTATAACGTCTACAATCCAGACGCGTTTCTGATTCTGCGATACGATTGGTCAAAACAGCTGACGTACGCTGTTGAACGACCAATCGTATCGCAGAATCGAGAAGCGTGTCTGGATTGTTGACGTTAAAAATTACCGTAATCGGGGCTCAGTTCTTATTCTCAAAACACCTGTCCGTCATGCAAAAAATCTCATTATGCAATCTGCATCAATACAGTCGGATTGAGAACATCCTCCTTTTTTTAAAGTCGGTTAAATATTCACGAACTTTTATAAACGTCAACCTCAAGTCGTTAATTCCTCTATGACCTCAATCAAGACCACCACCACCCACATCTGCTATCCTCTGTGCCACCAGGTCACCACCACGCCACAACCCAAGAACTATGCCAATTTGTGACGTCATACAATATTATGCAGAAAAACATAAATTTTCTTCTAAAACCCTGATTAAAATTTATAATTGGCAATGTTAAGAATAATATTTTAACCATTTCTGTAAAAAAAATGTTTCCGAACGAATCTTTGTATATTTTTGATTTTGCAGTTTCTGATTTCCGAACGAATTATTATTTTGAGTTGTGTCAACACGGAGCGTTGTTTTTGTCGTATTTTGTGCAAAAAAAAAGAGAAAGAATTTGTTTCGCTCCTAAATTTAGCTAAAACATAAAAAAACATGCTGTGATATTTCGAAGTGTAATGATCTTAAAATATTTTAGTGAATATAAGATTTCTTTATAGTTTACTAACATAACCTAAAAGCGGTTGACGCGATCTCCAAAAATGTTTTCTATCTGCCGCCAAACACACCCAGCGACTGGGATCGAGCACGCTGTGAGCTGCTGCTTCTTCAGCACCGATGAAGTGTGCTTGGTCACCGCTGGAGCGAATATTATCAAGGTCTTCAGGCTATTCCCTGAGGGCCAAACCAAAGAGGTCAATGCCGGTAAGTAACTGCATTTTTACACAAAATTATCCTTTTTAATTCTTTAGAGCCATGTAGATCCTTGTAATTATGTTGTTCTTGTTTCTTTTACAATTTTAAAGCGATACTTAAATTTTAACTACCTACTACTGCAATCAAGAAAAATGATATAGGCAATCAGTCTTGGTAGTCACACCTTACATATCAAAGTTTCCTTTAGACTGTATACTAACTACCTACATCATAAGTGCCACTTGTGGTCTAAACTGAATAAATATTTTTGATTTTGATTTTATGATACTTGATTTGTATACCTCAAATTAATGAATTCATTCTCTATAATTGAGATTTATTGTATTGCCAGAGATATTCTTTGTCAGACTTGTTACTTCATTTCTTTAATTGTTTTTAGTATTGTCTTATACAGGAGAAATTTATTGATAATATTGTGATCAACGGTCTATTAACCAGTAGAGTTTTCGTACTTAGTCCCAGCTGTTTACTCTTGTTAAAAATGTGTGTTCTCCAAATCTGTCTTTAAATTTTCCAGCTGGTCAGCAAATACCCCCTAAGATGAAGCTTGAATGCCTCGCAACCTACACGCTATGGGGCAACGTGATGTCCATGGCATCAGTACGATGCCCCAGTGCTGGCAGAGACCTACTGCTGGTGTCGTTCAAGGAAGCCAAGCTGTCAGTACTACAATATGACCCGCAGACGAACAATCTGATCACTTTGAGCATGCATTACTTTGAAGAAGATGATATGAAGGTATGATACATCTTTTATTAGTACATATTGGGTACTGATACTACTACAAATAGTTATATAGTTTTATAGAAAAACTTCTCTACACATTATTTTTTCAATTACCTGTAAAATTAGTTTTTGCTAAGATTAATTTGCCTTTTTATTTGCCTTGGTAAATTAGAGAGGGTCATCCTATTGCACTCGAGTTTAAGTCGACAGCAGCACAGCAGTTTTTATAATTTGAAGGCGTGCATCTGTTGTAATATTTTATGGTATGAAATTATCAACAGCGCGTCTGTCGCACATTCGTCGCGGTGCTAAAGCCGCCAAAATATTAAAGCACTTAATGACCTATTGACGATGATGACTAGACTAATATATCATATTTCATCATTGCAGAATGGCTGGACAACACACCCACACATTCCATGGATCCGAGTAGACCCAGAGTGCAGGTGTGCAGTGATGCTGCTGTATGGAAAGAAACTGGCAGTGCTCCCGTTCAGAAAAGATATCACATCTGAAGACGGTGACCCGCTTGAGGCAAAACCGTTCAATGATACTAAGAAAAATGTAAGTGCTATCTTAATCGCCTTTTCCTGTTCCTGTTACTTGAGTTCCTCTAAAATTAAAAACTACCTACCTAGTTGAATATAAACAGTATTTTTTACTACAAACCAAATTGGTTTTAAACCTCTAGCAAAAAAGAATTCTACATAAAGTGAACATTATGTGTGATGTCAAAATCAATGGTATGTCACATAGCATAAGCCATGATTTAAATAGGACCTGATAGTTCTTCAGGGGCCCTTTCCAAACTGCCGGAACACAATAATGCTGTTCATTGTTGTTATGGCGACAGACTTAGGTAAGATGGTGGTAGCTAGCCAGGCGGACTTAGAACAAGCCCTACCACCAACCAAACCGAACAGAAAAATCTGCCCCCACTGGGAATCGAACCCGGGACCTCTGCGTCTGAAGCAGGTGGTCTTACCACCAGACCACAGAGGCGGTTGGCAGTTCTATTGCTCCTGAAATACAGTTTACACTAAGTCTAGTTTAGTATTCAGGGTTTCAATATAAAATGTTACAGTGTATTTACATCAATAAAGCTATTCTTATTGCTCTTTCCAGGCGCCCACACAAACTATGACCCGTGCACCCACTCTCGCCTCCTACGTCATAGTTCTCAAGGAGTTGGATGAGAAGATAGACAATATACTGGACATACAGTTCTTGCACGGATACTATGAGCCTACACTGCTGTTGCTGTATGAGCCTGTGAGGACTTTTGCTGGGTGAGTTGTATTTTAGTTTATTTTTGTGGATTCTATTGTGGATTAAAAAACCTCTGGTATTTTGACAATATCTAGTGTTCAAAGAGATTTAGATTTTCATGCCTTTTGGCTGGTATAGATCTGTACTCACAAGTAGACTGTAGTATCAGAGTAAATACAAATGAGTAGGTCATCTTCATAGAAACGCACCGAGCGCGGTTTGTATGTGAGTGCGCCTATACGTAATTACAAAATACGTTAAGTTTACGGGTACTCCGTTATCTGGGCCACGGCCGGTTGCCTTCAACTTCCTGCAGCCGTGCCGGTTCCTATCGACCCTTAGCATCTTGTTGTCTCTCTGTTATTGCTACTGCCTGTGTAGTTATTGAAGTCCTTGCCCTTAGCAACTTGTTGTTTCTCTCTGTTGCCTCTTCTTTAGCCATCTTTCTTTAAGATCTTTAGTCTTACCACTGTGTTATTTTTCTCTTGTTGTCTCACTCTTATCCCCCCGTCTTTGGCCTTAGCATCTTGTTGTCTCCCTCTTGTTCTATTGTTAGCTCGTGCTGTTAAAGACTTATTCGTCTTAGATTATTGATTGATGCATCTTCTTTTGTCACCTTTCTCTCTCACACCTGTGCCCTGTGCATCTTGTCTCTTATGTTGCATCTTCTTTGGTCACCTTTCTCTCTCACACCTGTGCCCTGTGCATCTTGTCGTCTCCCTCTGTTGTGACGCGCCCATTCGGCCCGCAGCCGCACGGCCGTGCGCAACGACACGTGCGCGATGGCCGGCGTGAGCCTGAACATGAGCGCGCGCGTGCACCCCGTCATCTGGGCCACGGCGGGGCTGCCCTTCGACTGTCTACAGCCGTGCCGGGGCCTAAAGCGCGGATTGAAGGCTTTGGTCTTAGCATCTTATTGTCTTTCTCTGTTGTTAGAGAAGCAGACGCAATAAGACACACCGCTGTTAAAGTGTTATTTGTTTCGTTATTGTATCTTGTCGTTTTCTCTCTCTCTCTCTCTCTCTCAGATCCTTGTCCTTAGCATCTTGTTGTCTCTTATCGTGCTGTTAAAATGTTATTTGTCCCCCGTTGTTGCGTCTTCTTTTGCCATCTTTCTCTCTCACACCTGTGCCCTAAGCATCTTGTCGTCTCCCTCTGTTGTGACGCGCCCATTCGGCCCGCAGCCGCACGGCCGTGCGCAACGACACGTGCGCGATGGCCGGCGTGAGCCTGAACATGAGCGCGCGCGTGCACCTCGTCATCTGGGCCACGGCGGGGCTGCCCTTCGACTGTCTACAGCCGTGCCGGGTCCCATAGCGCGGATTGAAGGCTTGGCCCTTAGCATCTTGTTGTCTCTCTCTGTTGTTAGAGGCAGCGACGCAACAAAACACTCCGCTGTCAAAGTGTTATTTGTCTCGTTGTTGCGTCTTCTTTTGTCACCTTTCTCTCTCACATCTGTGCCCTTAGGATCTTATTGTCTCTCTCTGTTGTTACTACTGCCTCTGTCATTATTAGTATTTGCCAATAGCATCTTGTTGGTGCATCTTTTTGTCACCTTTCTCTCTCACACCTGTGCCCTGTGCATCTTGTCGTCTCCCTCTGTTGTGACGCGCCCATTCGGCCCGCAGCCGCACGGCCGTGCGCAACGACACGTGCGCGATGGCCGGCGTGAGCCTGAACATGAGCGCGCGCGTGCACCCCGTCATCTGGGCCACGGCGGGGCTGCCCTTCGACTGTCTACAGCCGTGCCGGGCCCATAGCGCGGATTGAAGGCTTTGGCCTTAGCATCTTGTTGTCTCTCTCTGTTGTTAGGCGAAGAGACGCAATAAAACACTCCGCTGTCTAAGTATTATTTGTCTCTCATAGTTGCGTCTTCTTTCGTCATTCTCTCTCACATCTTCGCCCTAAGCATCTTGTCGTCTCTCTGTTGTTACTACTGCCTGTGTAATTATTAGTATTTGCCAATAACATCTTGTTGGTGCATCTTTTTGTCACCTTTCTCTCTCACACCTGTGCCCTGTGCATCTTGTCGTCTCCCTCTGTTGTGACGCGCCCATTCGGCCCGCAGCCGCACGGCCGTGCGCAACGACACGTGCGCGATGGCCGGCGTGAGCCTGAACATGAGCGCGCGCGTGCACCCCGTCATCTGGGCCACGGCGGGGCTGCCCTTCGACTGTCTACAGCCGTGCCGGGCCTATAGCGCGGATTGAAGGCTTTGGCCTTAGCATCTTGTTGTCTCTCTCTGTTGTTAGGCGAAGAGACGCAATAAAACACTCCGCTGTCTAAGTATTATTTGTCTCTCATAGTTGCGTCTTCTTTCGTCATTCTTCTCTCTCACATCTTCGCCCTAAGCATCTTGTCGTCTCTCTGTTGTTACTACTGCCTGTGTAATTATTAGTATTTGCCAATAACATCTTGTTGGTGCATCTTTTTGTCACCTTTCTCTCTCACACCTGTGCCCTGTGCATCTTGTCGTCTCCCTCTGTTGTGACGCGCCCATTCGGCCCGCAGCCGCACGGCCGTGCGCAACGACACGTGCGCGATGGCCGGCGTGAGCCTGAACATGAGCGCGCGCGTGCACCTCGTCATCTGGGCCACGGCGGGGCTGCCCTTCGACTGTCTACAGCCGTGCCGGGGCCTATAGCGCGGAATGAAGTGTTTGCTCTTAGCATCTTGTTGTCTCTCTCTGTTGTTACAACTGCCTCTGTCATTATTAGAATTTGCCTTTAGCATCTTGTTGGTGCATCTTTTGTCACCTTTCTCTCTCACATCTGTGCCCTAAGCATCTTGTCGTCTCCCTCTGTTGTGACCTCGTGCCCATTCCTCGTCTTCTTTCGTCATCTTGCTCTTTCATATCTTTGCCCTTAGCATCTTGTTGTCGTCTGTCGTTGTTGCGTCTTAATTTGCCATCTTTCTCTCTCACATCTGTGCCTATGCATCTTGTCGTCTCCCTCTGTTGTGACGTGCCCATTCGGCCCGCAGCCGCACGGCCGTGCGCAACGACACGTGCGCGATGGCCGGCGTGAGCCTGAACATGAGCGCGCGCGTGCACCCCGTCATCTGGGCCACGGCGGGGCTGCCCTTCGACTGTCTACAGCCGTGCCGGGTCCCATAGCGCGGATTGAAGGCTTTGTCCTTAGTGTCTTGTTGTCTCTCTCTGTTGTTACTGCTGCCTGTGTCATTATTAGTCTTTGCCTCTAGCATCTTATTGGTGCTTCTTCTTGTCACCTTTCTCTCTCACATCTTCGCCCTAAGCATCTTGTTGTCTCTCTCTGTTTTTATGGGAAGAGACGCAATAAAACACTCCGCTGTCTAAGTATTATTTGTCTCTCGTTGTTGCGTCTTAATTTGTCATCTTTCTCTCTCACATCTGTGCCCTTAGCATCTTATTGTCTCTCTCTGTTGTTACTACTGCCTCTGTAATTATTAGTATTTGCCTTTAGCATCTTGTTGGTGCATCTTATTGTCACCTTTCTCTCTCACACCTGTGCCCTGTGCCCTGTGCCCTGTGCATCTTGTCGTCTCCCTCTGTTGTGACGCGCCCATTCGGCCCGCAGCCGCACGGCCGTGCGCAACGACACGTGCGCGATGGCCGGCGTGAGCCTGAACATGAGCGCGCGCGTGCACCCCGTCATCTGGGCCACGGCGGGGCTGCCCTTCGACTGTCTACAAGCTGTGCCGGTTCAGAAGCCGCTGGGTGAGTATAGATTTGATCATTTGATGCCTTTGCCATCACTTTATTTGAGATGAATTAAAAAATAAAATGTCAATGTGTGAAAGTGTCAATTTTTTACGCGGGAAACGAAAAGAAAAGCGGCTTTGTTTCTCAGATTTAAAAATTGTGATAAAAAAGTTAAAAACATACCTGAAGTATGTTCCAATATGGCACTGCGAACACTGCTCAGGTCTAATTCTTTATTTATATTCTTCCACTAGGCTTAAAGATTAGGTAATAACTGGCCCATCGGAAATCTGGTCCGCGGGCCAGTTAATACCTAACCCTTATAAAAAGCTCTTTTACACTTTTGTCACTGGTGGGTGTGAAACACTGAGCAGGGCTAGCAGTGATATAACGGAACATACAATTTTATTAATGTCTTTGCCATGTCTGTCGGTAAATTAAAAAATAAAATGTCAACGTGTGAAATTGACGTGTTTTTACGCGGGAAACGAAAAGAAAATGGCTTCGTTTCACAGATTTCTAAAATGAAAAAAAAATTAGCTGAGGAATTTGAATTCTACCTTTTTCTGAGCTTTTGCTATCAACTATTATACTGAAATGCTGTTTCTTTGACTTCGGACCTTTGAAAGGCATTTCATTTTTATTGCAATTCACAGGTGGCTGTCTTATAATGGCGGTGAATTCACTGATCTACCTCAACCAATCGGTGCCACCGTATGGAGTATCCCTCAACAGTATAGCGACACACACGACTAACTTTCCTCTCAGTAAGTACACAATAAAATTGGTAATTTGAACTAATGTAGTAACTCTTATATTGGTGTGTTGTGTGGTGTCAAATTGAGAAAAAAATCTATTGATTGGCGAAATCAAAAGCCTGTAGCATATTCATTGGTAAACTTGCTTATTTATTTTAGTGATGTTAACACGCCATCTGTCCATTGGTGGTTGGTGATGTCAATGTGCCCATTGATTGATGATGTGAACGTGCCTATGGACAGGATAACAGGGCGTCAACGTGTCTTGATACGCTTGACACGTGCCTATTGATTATTCAACGTGCCTAATGATTGTTCAACATGCTTATTGACTGCTCATGTCAATAGTGGCGTCCATTTATCTTCTGATGAGCAATGTGCTAGCTGTCACTCGTGTTGACTGAGCTGTATTTTCCAGGGATCTATCCTGCGCACGTTCATATTGATTAGATCGTTTCATCCGCTCGGACGCGCCCCACCAATGTTTGGTCTCGGTCGCGCGGGGTGCGGGGAGTTTGATCCGAGCAATCCGAGCGGCATTATTGTAGTGTGCGTGTGCACTTATGGATAATTTAGCGTGTACTGATAACACTCAAACATTAGAGGAAGAATGGTGGGGCGCGTCTTCGTGGATGAGACGATCTATAACAACCCGATCCAACTATCGTCCAAATAAAAGTCTGTGGTCTGCGGCTAGGGCGAGCCTTGCCTAGGGCGCTCTGTCGCTGCTTTACTAGCCCCTATTTGCCTGTTTATAATATTAGTATAGATTTAACGGAGTGGCAGTTGTAACACTTATGCTTATTAAGTACTTTTCCTTAGGAATCCAGGAAGGTGTGTGCATCACTCTAGACGGGGCTTGCGTAGCGCCACTGGGAGAGGCTCGCTTGGCGCTGTCACTGCGCGGTGGACAGCTATACGTGCTGACACTGCTGTCTGACAGCGTGCGCAGCGTACGAAGTTTTCACTTGGACCGCGCCGCCGCCTCCGTTCTTACTACTTGTGTGAGTCACAACTATCGTTGCTTACGTCATGACTCACTGTTACGTCATGATTGTCGAAGCTACGTTACCACTGTCGCTGCTGTATACGTCACGACTATCGCTGCGCGGCGACCAGCTGTACGTGCTGACGCTGCTATCTGACAGCGTGCGAAGCTTCCATCTAGCTAGACCGAGTGGCTGCGTCCATGCTTACTACTTGCGCGAGTCACAACTATCGTTGTTTACGTCACGACAGTAGCTAATACGTCATGACTGTTACTGCTGTATACGTCACGACTGTTGTTGCTACGTCATGACTGTCTTTGCTACGTCACTACTGTCGCCGTATACGTCACAACTATCACTGCTGTATACGTCACGACTGTCGCTGCTATGTACGCCACGACTGTCAGTGCTACGTCATGACTGTTTTTGCTGTACACGTCGTGTCTGCCGCTACAAAATATGCCACGTCACACGACTGTCACTACTGTACACATCCCGATTTACTTTTAATCAAATCGCATTTGACCAAACTTTTCGTTAACTTCGAACTATGTTAAGATTGCTGACAGTTCCATAAATAATTTATAATAAACACTTCTATGCACTCTAGATAGGTAATTTTTTCCCAACAATCCTACTAATAGTGCTATCTCTTTCAGATGTGCGTGATAGAAGAGGACTTCCTATTCCTCGGATCTCGTCTCGGTAACTCGCTTCTCCTACGAGTGACAGAGAGAGAAAACCGCATGTTGTTCTCTGTGGAGAAACCTTTGGAAGCTACTGTGGATCTGACTGTCTCTGACGCTGGTAAGTACTTTAAAATGTATTAATTTGACACTGGTAAGAAATGGGAATATGGTTTCCACCATATTTTAAATCTTATTCCCTTGTTTAGGTTCAAGGTTATTAAGGTTCAAAACAATGTTTTTTTTTACCTACTATGCCTCGATAGATTTATTTATAGCTATTAGCGTGGGTTTGGATCTGATCATCATTTCAGTCACAGAACGTCCACTGCTGAACATAGGCCTCCCCCAATGAGTTCCACATCGCACGGTTGGTAGCGGCCTGCATCCAGCGCTTTCCTGTTACCTTTATCAGGTCGTCGGTCCACCTTGTGGGTGGACCTACCTTGTATCAGTAATAAATAATGTAGCTTTCTTCTACTGATGAAAAATTTATAAAGATCGGTTCGGTACTTACTGAGATTGTTTCTTATAAACAAACACTCACTTTATAATATTCGCCCTTTAGGGCTCACCAGTTCTTGCAGAGTCTCTTTTAAAATCTAATGTCACCGAGTGCCAGTGTCTGCTCCAGTTCAGGCATATAGATTGTAATACAATAATTAAAACCTTTAGAGAATTAAATATGAAAAAAACTGAGGACCTTTGGGGAATCTCCGTCAGTATAATTGGAACAATTATTGACACCATAGCTCCTCACCTTGCATTCATTTTTAATACATGTATTGATCAAGGTTGCTTTCCTAGCTTAATGAAGTTAAGTAAAATAATTCCATTGTTCAAGGCTGGTGACAAATGTGACCCCTCTAATTTTCGACCGATTTCTATTCTACCAGCACTTAGCAAAATTTTCGAGAAAATTATTTTCCACCAACTTCTATCTCACTTCATTTTTAACAAATTATTACACAATAAGCAATTTGGTTTTACGAAAGGTAGAAGTACTACTGACGCTGGAGTAGCACTATTGAAACACGTCTTTGATGCTTGGGAGAGTAAAAAGGACGCTGTTGGTATTTTCTGTGATCTTTCAAAAGCGTTTGATTGTGTAGACCACCAAACCTTACTAAAAAAATTGCGACATTATGGTGTTTCGGATGAGGCACTTGATCTGTTGAACTCGTATCTCACAGGCAGAAAGCAAAAAGTTTGTATTAATGGAACTGAGTCTTCTGGAGCACCTCTTACCATGGGTGTGCCACAGGGATCGATATTGGGACCTTTGCTATTTCTTATTTACATTAATGACCTTCCTTACTTTGTAAAAAATCTGTGTGATATTGTGTTATTTGCTGATGACACATCTCTCATTTTCAAAGTTGATAGAGGTAAAGTAAATTTTGACGATATTAATAACACACTCTCACAGGTTCTACATTGGTTCACTGTTAACAACTTATTGTTAAATGCAAACAAAACTAAGTGCATTAAATTTACCTTACCTAATGTGAGGCAGGTTTCCACGCAATTAATGGTGAAGAATGAACCATTAAATAGCATAAATTCCACAACATTCCTGGGAATCACTTTAGATGCTAAACTTCAATGGGGTCCTCATATTGAAACTTTGTCAAAAAGGCTCAGTTCGGCTGCTTTTGCAGTGAGAAAGATAAGGCAATTAACTGACATTGAAACGGCAAGGCTAGTATATTTTAGCTATTTTCATAGTATAATGTCATACGGCATATTGTTGTGGGGCTCAGCCGCGGACATTGAAACTGTGTTTGTTCTGCAGAAGAGAGCAGTGCGGGCCATTTATAACCTTGGACCCCGATTTTCCTTGAAAGATTTTTTTAAGGAAATAAACATACTGACAGTAGCTTCACAGTTCATTTATGAAAACCTTTTATATGTCCGCAAAAATATAGAGCAATTCACGAAAAAGAGCGATTTGCATAACTTTAATACAAGAAACAAAAATAAACTTGCCGTTCCAAATTTCAGATTGCATAAGATTGGTAATTCATTTATGGGAAAATGTATTATTTTTTTTAATAAATTACCACAAACTGTTGTAGAACTACCCATTCATAAATTCAAAGCACATATTAAAAGTACCTTAATGAAAAAGGGCTACTATAAAGTGATAATTTAAAAGATAAAAATGTTTGGGATACGTTACTGCCTAGCTCGCATAAATATTTATAACTTTGTACATTTTAAAGCATGTAAACCTTTGAAAAAGAGGCTGACAATAGTGACTGAGTTTCTTGCGCTGCTTCTTCTCAGCACTGGCCCATTTATTGTCCCGAAGCAGTGGTAGGGTTAATACTGGGACGTGTAAAAGTGCTTTTATAAGCCTATTTACAGAAATAAATGAGTTTTAATGAGTTTTAGCGTCTTAATTTTTCATTCGCTTTTTAACCTTTGTGCTATGTGAATAATGTTCAAATTCTGCTGGAAATAATATATTCGTCATAGGCACTTACACGATTACACTACATGTAAACAGAAAGTAGACTTCATTTTACCTCTATTGCTATTATGTCATTGTTTAATCTTTTCATTGCATTATAAATGTTACATTCGAAACTCATAATCGGTCAAAATCACTTTAGCGTCAGTTTTGACTGTAACATACACATTATTTAGGCGTTGTACATTTAATACTATTTAAGTTAACTTTCGACTTATTTTGCCTCTCTTTCAGAAAGAGAGAAAGAAAAAGAGAAAGAAGCGAGCTCAAACAAAGACCAGTCTCAACAAAAAGACGACCCGGCGTCCAAGAAACGTCGCCTCGACTCGCTGAGCGATTGTGTGGCGACCAACGTCATAGAGATCAGCGATAAGGATGAGCTGGAAGTCTATGGCTCAGATATCAGGACTTCTACGCAGTTGACCAGTTATGTCTTTGAGGTAAGGCTTTATAGAGTATCAATCAGTTTGGTTGGTGGTAGGGCTTGTTCTAGTTCCGATTACTACTAAAAAGTTTTAAATCAAAATGTTCTTTATTTGTGTAGAGAGACTAATTAAATTAGTACTTACAAATCGTCAAATGTTCTTAAAGAACCTATACATGTCTCATTCAGTTACAGCTTTAGTCACCTCACCAGTCCATCAGGCTATAAAATTTTGATCTAAAATTGCAATAATTATAGGTCGCTCAACGAAAGTTGAGGCAAACACGTACTCGTATGAATATTTTAATACAGAACACACAAACATATTACATTATTGAAGACATTGAGCGTGGTAGCAAGCCACGCTCTTGTTAAATGTGTGCAAAGAAAAGACTTTGGCTACAAACTTTGCTTGTGGCCTCAACTCTCGTTGCGCGCCCTATACAACTACATCACATGTCATTGACAGTTTTAAATCCATATATATAAAAAAAAGTCGTGTTAGTTACTTCGCTTATAACTCAAGAACGGCTGAACCGATTTAGCTGAAAATTGTCAGGGAGGTAGTTTAGAGCCAGGAGAAGGACATTGGATACTTTTTATCCCGTTCGAAATTAAAAAAAAGTCTGCTTATTTATTGCCATTAAGGCGGAACAAAGTTCGCCGGGTCAGCTAGTTGTAAATAACATACTTATGTTTATTTTGATGTGCCATTATTTTCTTTTCCCCTACAGGTGTGCGATTCCCTCCTAAACATCTGCCCTATAGGCGATGTTTCAATGGGCGAACCGCAGCTTCAAACAGCCGGCGACGCAGAAACTGAAGCCGAGCCTTCCATCGAGTTAGTGGCCTGCAGCGGCCGCGGCAAGAACGGAGCCCTGACTGTCCTGCAGAGGGCGCTGCGGCCGCATCTGGTCACTGCCTTCACTCTGCCAGGTGTGTGCAGTCTCCTGGCCTAGTGACACCTGGGCAGCAAGGCCGAGCCTCCATCGAGTTAGTGGCCTGCAGCGGCCGCGGCAAGAACGGAGCCCTGACTGTCCTGCAGAGGGCGCTGCGGCCGCATCTGGTCACTGCCTTCACTCTGCCAGGTGTGTGCAGTCTCCTGGCCTAGTGACACCTGGGCAGCAAGGCCGAGCCTCCATCGAGTTAGTGGCCTGCAGCGGCCGCGGCAAGAACGGAGCCCTGACTGTCCTGCAGAGGGCGCTGCGGCCGCATCTGGTCACTGCCTTCACTCTGCCAGGTGTGTGCAGTCTCCTGGCCTAGTGACACCTGGGCAGCAAGGCCGAGCCTCCATCGAGTTAGTGGCCTGCAGCGGCCGCGGCAAGAACGGAGCCCTGACTGTCCTGCAGAGGGCGCTGCGGCCGCATCTGGTCACTGCCTTCACTCTGCCAGGTGTGTGCAGTCTCCTGGCCTAGTGACACCTGGGCAGCAAGGCCGAGCCTCCATCGAGTTAGTGGCCTGCAGCGGCCGCGGCAAGAACGGAGCCCTGACTGTCCTGCAGAGGGCGCTGCGGCCGCATCTGGTCACTGCCTTCACTCTGCCAGGTGTGTGCAGTCTCCTGGCCTAGTGACACCTGGGCAGCAAGGCCGAGCCTCCATCGAGTTAGTGGCCTGCAGCGGCCGCGGCAAGAACGGAGCCCTGACTGTCCTGCAGAGGGCGCTGCGGCCGCATCTGGTCACTGCCTTCACTCTGCCAGGTGTGTGCAGTCTCCTGGCCTAGTGACACCTGGGCAGCAAGGCCGAGCCTCCATCGAGCTGGTAGATAGTTTAGCAGGGCAAACTAATACCGCACTTAGCCTCTTGATTGGGCCATTGTGCACTGCCAGGTAGGTAGCCCTTTCGCAGGACTAGCACTGTCCAAATTAGTCCTTGACAGTGGCTGCAAAGACAAGAATGGATCTCTAATTGTACTATAGAGGGCGCTGCGGCCGCATCTGGTCACTGCCTTCACTCTGCCAGGTGTGTGCAGTCTCCTGGCCTAGTGACACGGGAAGTCGAACCTTAATTTCGAACTCCTCCTATGTTCTTCTGATTAATTTCGTTGCGGGTCCAATGACAGTTTAACTTTCCCCGGGACAAACTTTACCTTCATTGGTTGGGTTTTTGTGGCGGTCAAAGTAGATCCTGTAGATCTTGGCTACACAGGAGTTGTAGTGGTGGGAACGAGAGGTGGGAATAGTCCCGTAGCCTAGTGACACATGGTTCTTCAAGGCCGAGCAAGTTTTTAAAGATCAATATCCTGTGAGCGTCGTTCCCAATGGCTGCTGAGACACGAATATCACACTTACTGTTTCAGAGAGCTCTGCGACCGCATTTGACCGCAAGTCGACCTGATGTTAAGTGAGATGCAGTCTTTAATTATACAGTCACGGAATGAAAAGGTTCGTCAGTTTTCAAATTCATTCCTTCAACGAATCGCGAGCACATATTACCTTTTGAAACTATGTTACAGAATAATCTCGAGTTAGAGAAAATAATCTTTAACTGTTCGTCAGTAAAGTTCAAAATTATTCAGATCAAAGTTGTTTGACGATTTATCTTGTCAAGAAGATTATTATGATTGATAAACTAAAACCTTCTTGTTGGTTCAACCTGCCATTATTATTTCTATTAAATAAAAAAAAACTATTGTCAATTGGTCAATGTCATCATTGCATTGCACTGATTGAATAGAAAAATAAACAAGCAAAACCTTATTTGTTAGAAAACGTCATATTTATTTAAATGTTAGCAGCACTGTTTCTTGCACTTTTATGTTGGCAGGTTTGACTCTTACAGTACCTAGTGCAAGCGAAAACCGACATTAAGGTGACGAACCTTTTCATTCTGCGACTGTACATACCTGCTTATTCATTCTCGCCTTGGAAAAGCCCGGATTATGGTCACGAATAATAGTGAAAGACAACAGCAGGCAGTGAATTCCACTCCGTAGCTGTTCGCATTATAATCCATCCGACCGATTTCAGCCATGGCGACCACTCCGACTGCTATCTTAGCGGCGCTGATGTTCGCATTATTGGAGTTAGCGAAACGCTTAGTGCGAGCTGGTGAAGTCTCGCAATGTACGAATGGCACGCTAACCTGCGTCTGGTTTCCCAGTGATGGAAGTGGGCTAGTAGAATTAGGTTGTGTAATTCACTTTTCCCGGTAGGTGCCAGGCTTTCTATATTTCCTAGGACTTTAAGAAGCGGAGTTCGAGCAGTCAATTAATCTACTTGTTTGTGACTCTCATTAGGGTCTTGACAGCAATGCTGTCTGATAATAAAAGAAATTACGTGAAATATGCTCTTTCTTACTTGTGAGACTAACACCCGTATTCACAAACGATGCTTGCTTAAGTGAAGCAGTAAATCGAATGTACAGCGTTGAATAGAGCTCTATGATTGATTCATGTGTGACCCTGTGCGTCGACGCGCACTGTGAGACCTCATAGTAATGTTTGTGAATACGGGCGTTATTTGGCTACTTCTATCCCCAGGCTGCCTGGACATGTGGACGGTGATCGGCGAGCCAGCCGAAGGTCAGAGCTCCCGCGAAGTGCACAAAGACATGGAGGGTACGCACGCATATCTTATACTCACGCAGGACGACTCTAGTATGGTGAGTATACAGGAGTGTTTACAGCAAAATATTGCTTGTGCTAATGATGTTAGTTATCTACACTTTCATTTCATTTCATAGTCATTCAGTTCTTATGATGGCTTGGAACCAAACAACGGGGTGATTCCATACTTTTGCTCGTAAGTATAGTCTTGCGAGGTTGCTGGTGTTATGTAAATAATCCTACTTGTGATCCACGCATGCTTCATATAATAATAATCACTTACCATCAGGTGATCCGTCTGCTCGTTTGCCTCCTGTCACATAAAAAAAATATTCACATAGGATTATGCAGCATTGTGATTGGTAACTATGCAAAATATTTTATAGTAAAGGCTACATCCACTATTTTGGTTGGAGTGAGTGGTTCCTGCTGTCCTAGATTAGTGTAGGAGTGGTGACCAAGTGACGACTTCAGAAGTAACGCCTGAAGTTATCTGATAAATATGCATTTATGCCGGCTTTCTACTCAGTGGTCCGACGAAGGCTAAATGAAAGTAACGCAGGACCAGTCCTTGTGTAAATTCTTTGTGATCGTTTCGTCCTGCTGTTGCCTTTGGTTGAAAGAACTCTAATGTTTTTGTCCTGCTGTAGCTTTTTGGTCGAAACGAACCCAATTATGAACCCTATCCATTGAAAAAAAAAAAATGATGACACGTTAGAGTATTATCTTGCTAATATTGTGAATGCGAAAGTTTGGATGTCTGGATGTCTGGACATCTAGATGTTTGTCTCTCTTTCACGCAAGAGCTACTGATCGGATTTTGATGAGACTATGCAGTGTTGTTGTTTGTAGCCCAGAATGACATATTTGCTATGGTCTGTGGCGATCTGTGACAAACTAAATTTCGCACGGGTGAAGCTGCGGGCAAAAGCTGCATAGTAGTTTATACATCCAAATACATATGCTTAATAAATGATGTTATGATCCGTAATAAGTTTAATCTCACGTGAGCGAAGCCGCGGGTAAAATCTAGTTATTATTAAATTGACCTACATCTTTTTTGGGTTGTCTGTGGGGTGAGTGATTATTTAATTTTGTTCGGGTATCTGATATCTATTTGTCTGTCAAACTATAAACCTTAGTTTAAGATTATATTATCTGTGGTTTAAGTAATTTAAATTAATTACATTTTAAGTTAATTAACTTTAATTTAGTCGTCAAATGTGGCTCAACTTTATAGGGTGTCAAAATGTATTCTCATAATAATATTATGTAAGTTATTTGTAATGTTCTAGTTTTCATCTTTTGGAGTTTGCGTCTCGGTAATCCGAACGGTAGATTTACTTTAAGGATATTCCAGGGAAACCTATAATTAGCCATACTTATAGTTAAGTTACTTTAAGATTTATTCATTGTAACGCCGTTGGTTCCTAAATAAAATAAAAATAAAAAAATAAAAAATAAAAATGTCTACAGATCCTCCAGACCGGGCAGGAGATCAACGAGGTAGACAACTCTGGCTTCATGACGGGCTCGCCGACCGTGTTCGCGGGCAACCTCGGCCACAACCGGTTCATGGTGCAGGTCACCACCACCGCCATCCGGCTCATCAAGAGTAAGTCCAGGATATACCACCTAAAGCCCGGTCCGTGAGCACGTAGAATTTTGTCCAATGACCCCAAGCTACCCATCCGCGTAATTATATTGCTGTCGCGACTGTGCGACGGGCGCCGGCAGTGAGTGTGCGAGCGCGACAGCAACATAATTACGCGCGAGCGATAAGGATGGGTAGCTTGGGGTCATTGGACAAAATTCTACTTGCTCACGGACCAGGCTTTAGACCTATAATTAATAACAATCCCACAGATGGCACCAACATCCAATCCATTCAGTTCGAGTGGACGGCGGAATATGCCAACACGGCTGATCCCTACGTATGCGTGGTGTCCACTTGTGGGCGAGCGCTGGTATTGGCCCTGAGAGAGTTCCGCGCTAAGGATGGGACGGTAAGTGGTTTAAAAAAATCTAAGTTCACCCCCTAAGAGGGTGAACGTGGGTCGAAAGTTTGTATGGGGAAACTAGAGTAGTTAGACTATTTGAAACTTCATAGGAGTACTCCTATTGATAAATAAACAAACGCCTGTTTCATGTTTCATCCCCTAAAAGGAAGAAATGGGATAATAGAGTCTGAAAATGTATATGAGTATTTGTAGTTCGGTATTGGATCGCTATATTGCTAATTACGATAACAAAGACATTCTGTGATTAAATTCACGCGGGAAAAAACTAGTGTTAAAAAAACACTATAACCACAGAATAAGTAATAGTACAGGTACAGAAGGATTACTCCGCAAGACGATTTAAATAAATGCGAGTCTTGCTACGACGCGATACAGTGGAATTCAGCTCGCACAGCACTACGTACCTACAATTTTATTCACCTACAAGTTTTGTCTCTTTCTATCGCGTGCCTCTGAACTCTTCTTACGCTGTTAGGGTTGCTGTCTAGTGAAAATATAATTAATCTACTTATTTGTAAAGAGGTACGTATGTAGGTAAGTATGCATTCATTATGGAAACCTTGGGAGAGGCCTTTGTCCAGCAGTGGACGTCATTTGGCTGAAACGAACGAACGCATTCTGAGCAGTAGTCATAGTAGGTTAGGTTCCTATACTATCCTAAGAATTATTGATTACCTACATGGCCAACATACCTGTAGGGGCCTCGACCGGGAATCGATGAAATGAGAACGTAGTGGACTGTATTACAGGTTTATTGAAAGAAACTACGTTAATGACAGTTTAGTTGGCAATTATAAACAAGGGAGCGCGCGCGGTGTCTGCGGTGGCGTGAGGTGAAGTGGGCGGCCGATCGCCGCGGGTGCCGCGCGCCCGCGCCTCTGGGCCGAGAGCAGCCGAGGGCAGCCGAAGGTGCTCGAACATACCTTTCAGCATCTTTGGGAAGCGAAAAAAAAAGATGAATCCGGTAGATTACTTTTCGAATTTAAACACCCGAACGCCGCACAATATTTCTTTCTCTTTATGTCCATTTTTAAATAATACTTCGATCATAGAATTATAATCATACTACAACGCACGCCAGCGTCCTGACGGGCGCGCGCGTGACACTCGACTGATATAATACCCGCCGGCGGGGCGCTTCGCTGTAGGTAATTATCGGATGTACCGCGCGGAGTGAGCCAGGCCTGCTATAACCCGGTCGAGTTAACTGCGCACTTGGCAGCCGTGACGTCACACGACGCTCTAGTACAGACGGGACGAACGCGGGGAGGTGTGCGGGTGAGCGCGAAAGAGAGTCGCATTTAGGGTTGCCAGATGGAAACTTACCAAATCCGGGACAATTCTACTAGGACAACGGTGTCGGGTCTTGGCCATAGTAAAAATATTTTGATTTCTCAAATGATTTAATTTGTATTTCAAAAGAAAAAATTTTATAAAAAAAAAAATCGTAAAATTTTACTTATTTCTTGCTTTTTAGTTAACTAATTATTACCTTGATGTTACCACTGAAGGTAGGCAGTACACTGAGACCAAAAAAAATTTGGTTCATAATCGGCGGAGATATTGCGTATAAAAAAGTTCATCCCCAATTTTCCACCCTGGGGGGTGAAATATTTTCTTCAAATTCGCATGAAACCACCCTTTTGATAATACCTATTCAACAAAAAAATAAGCGTTCAAATTGGTTTATAATCGGCGGAGATATTGCGTATAAAAAAAAATTCAACCCCAATTTTCCACCCTTGGGGGTTGTTTTTTTATTATTAAATTTAAACGGGACCACCCTTGAGATATATTACCTATACGCCGAAAAAAGATTTGTTCAAATCGGTTCATAATTGGCGGAGTTATCGCGTAACAAACATAGAAAAAACAAAAAAAAAACATACGGGTCGAATTGAGAACCTCCTCCTTTTTTGAAGTCGGTTGAAAATGCCATTTATTTTCAAATACACACTTTTATTAAATAAGTAATGTACGTCAACATACATAATAGGACTCACAGGCAGGCCAGCCGAGTCATTTGTTATTACATATTAGTTTATTTTGACACAAAACCATTAGGTTTTCGGAAATCCAGGACAGTAATGTCTAATTACTGGACAATATCAAAGTGCTTTCCTCAAGAATGCCATCATACATTCTCATCAAAATACTACAGCTTGTTTATCATAATGCTCAAATAAATGAATTTGATTGGTTTTCCAGCAAACGGGGCGTCTAGCACCAACTCGGCAAGCGGTGCCGGCGCGGCCGGCCCTAGCACGCTGCGTGCCTTATCGGGACTTGAGTGGGTTGTTGGCACCGCCAGATGCTCATCCTGCACAGGTATGGACTTCTGTTCCTTTTTAAGAGAAAAAAAGATTAATTCTGGACGCTTTAAAATGAACTTTCTGTCAGCCACAATAAATTTTCTGGATAATGACCTCCGTAGCAACTGCAACTTTAACCAGCATACCCACTGAGGTATGCAGTTATGTACTTCTTCTCAGTCAAAAGGTGTAATGATTTCCACAGCGATCGGGCCTACGTCACTAATGTATGTCAATAGCGTCTCGCTACCTTTATCACGTCAACTCTCTACGGAGTTGGAAACCTGTAGGCCCAAGATGCACGCCGTGATAATTTTTATCGACGTCAAAATGTATGGACAAAATCGATAAAATGGCGTGATAACCGCTTGTCCTACTGAGTCTACTGAGTACATTAAAGTTATATCTTCACAATGATCACTCTTACCCAACGGCCATCAGTTCTATAAGTTTTATGCTATATCTGGCCTGTTGCTTACGTCAAAGTCGAATGCATGCACTTTGACATTTTAGTTATTCGGGGGCTAATAAAGCGCTAGTTTCCCCAGTCTTCCGTGTTACCGAAAATCTTTCATTCGTACATTACCAGGACTTATATTTTTTTAAATATTATTAGTAATCAATTTGTTATTGCACAAATTACTAATAGTCCCGTTAGCCCCTCGTACTAAGCTAAATATGCTTGTGTCACGAGTGAGCTCACCACAATAGTCGAGCGGCGGCGGGGACCGAACCCGCGTTCCCCGGATCACGAGTCGGCCAGTCCGACCCCTTCACCGTTCGGCTATCGTGGCTTCATATAAAAATATCGTTTCACGCAAAAATAAACTTTATTACCAACAGGTGAAGGGCGAGTTCCAAGGCAAAGCGCCCAGCAACGTGAAAGCCGAAGGCCTTAAGCCGGGCGCCATCTATGAGCTCAACGACGACGACGAACTTCTCTACGGCGGCGACCAGACGCCCGCTTCTATGGCCAGTGTAAGTAGGAACATAAATATTCTAAAGCCCGGTCCGTGAGCACGTAGAATTCTTTCAGCCAAGTGACATAAAGTGCCCACCAAAGGCCTTCCCTAAGGATTTCCACAAATGGATCACAACGACCGATTTCCAATTTTTACGTCATACACCTCCCGAGAGAGGAGACTAATGCCCGTTTTCACCATCAATCCCTAATTTTTAAGTGACCCCTATGAAAACAAAATTCATATTATGTGTTGTGGAAGGCATAAAAGTACCTAAATCCTTACGAAGTCAACTTGCTATAATATCTATGGGGACGTAGAACTAAAGCCTGGCGTCTATGGTCAGCGTAAGTACACACACCCGTCTTCTAAAGCCCGGTCTGTGAGCACGTAGAATTTTGTCCAATGACCCCAAGCTACCCATCCTTATCGCTATCGCTAAATTTTACCTTCTTATGAGGCCCATAGTAAGCGACCACGTCTCAGCTCCGTAAACCATCACTGGCAACACACACTGGTCAAAGACTTTTGTCTTGAGACTGCGGTATTTCGGACGTGAGAATATCGCGAAGCTTCCCGAACGCTGCCCAGTAATAGTAACNCCACCCCGCCCACGCCCACACCGACGCCGCCCACGCCCACACCGCCCACGCCGCCCCCTACTAATTCTGAAAGAATTGATAGCTCTATTGGTTCTGAAACTTTTCGTTACCCTACGACAGTGTTTCTTAAACCTTTTTTGTCCACTTAGGATATCGAGCACAATTTTAAGAAGCTGCCTCATAAAAAAGCAGCAATAAATTTCGATTACAAGACTTGGTGACATTTATTTATGATTCTTAAATGGTCCATAAGTTAGGCTACGGACACCCCTCGCGGACACTCCGACGGCCAAAGGTAAAGAAACACTGCCTTACAATATGGCCTAATTTTGCGCGAGGATTCCTCTTTTATTCGTTCATAAGAGTAAAGGGCTATGTGAAGACGCATTAATTTGTTTCTTTAGACATTATAGATAAATAGTTAATGATCGATAACTTTTAAAAAAAATAAAACCGACTTCAAATGCGTGAACACAAAAAAAAACTAAAAATTAAAAATATTGCGTATAAAAAAGTTCAACCCCAATTTTCCACCCTTGGGGGTGAAATATTTTCTTCAAATTCGCATGAAACCACCCTTTTGATAATACCTATTCAACAAAAAAATAATCGTTCAAATTGATTTATAATCGGCGGAGATATTGCGTATAAAAAAGTTCATCCCCAATTTTCCACCCTTGGGGGTTGTTTTTTCTATTATTAAATTTAAATGGGACCACCCTTGAGGTATTACCTATACGCCGAAAAAAGATTTGTTCAAATCGGTTCATAATTGGCGGAGTTATCGCGTAACAAACATAGAAAAAAAAAAAATTGCAACAACTATAATTTATTATCCAAGCTCTAAATAATCGCTACTACGAGTAACTGATCATAAAATGTTTTTCCAATCGCTCAAGCTCCCGAGGATCTACCGATAGGTCGGGTGACGTAATCTTGAAATTCTTTTAGCCGGCGCGGAAATTCCGGAAGGTCGGGTGACGCCACGCCTCTTTGAACCGTGTTAACTTTGGCAGTTATATTCTATATTTATTCGATTCTAAAATATATTCCCAAAAATTTTGAAATTTGTTTTAATTTGTATCACTTGGATATGATTTGTATTGGAAAGTGCTGTGAGTGTGACGCTTGAACGGAAGGAAGTCAACCTAACCTAACCAACTGCGTATTATTTTCTAAACTGCGTATTTCTATACTGTGTAGCCGCGAGAGCTCTTTGGCGCGCTGTCTTCGGCGAAGTATTGCGCGCGCAGATTTTGACAGCGCGAAATACCTACTTTAGCAGAAATACCAAGCCTTAAGCCTGCAGCGCCCACAAGGGAGCGTTATCGCCCACTTTGGGAAAGACTGGACTAGACTATAGCCAGTAGCCTTATTCACGTAGCAAAACTTCAACGACAACAAAACACTGAGTTGCGATCCTATCGAGTAATCGTTCTATCAAAATGACCCTTGTGTTGTGTCAGCGAGATCTTGACTGTCAAAATACGTGAATTAGGCCACTGGTTCATAACGTAATGAATCGAGCCATACCTTACTACTAGATTTTTACTAGCCCTTTGGACTTGTTCTGTAAGCTTACATGTGTTTTGCATCAATAATAACGAGTAAGCGCAAGAATAGTGAGGTACACCTCTAACTGGATTTAGTTTTTCCATATGATCTAAGTTGTCAAAATCTTGTTGACAGACAAAAACAGTTGTCGTTACTTGCCTCATTTTAGACGAAGCGTTTGTACAAGGTCGATTATTAATCTAAGATTTAAATAATTTTAATCACTTTTATGACTTATAATCCTATTTCATCCCCCCACAGATAATGTTAGCAGAACAGTCCAAGAATCCAGGCGTTCCTCGCCGCATCTCGCGCTGGTGGAAGAAACATCTAGTGGAGGTCAAGCCTACGTACTGGCTGTTCGTGATCCGACGCAACGGGAACTTAGAGTTATACTCACTGCCGGAGATGAGACTGAGCTTTTTGGTCAGAGACGCTTGCGCGGGACATAGGGTGAGATGTTTGGCTTGATTTAAAACTTCTAGAAACTTCTTTTGATTTAGAACAGGCGTCTTTTGGGAAAGCTCCATCTTAGGTTGCATTTTTACATTGTATAATTGTACCTACTCAAATGCAAGCAATTAATTTGCCCCGTGACATTGTACCTACTCAAAAGCAAGCAATGAGGGCTATCGTTTTTGCTTAACAGTTGGCACCCCTGGCGATGACAGGACCTTACTCTACAGTGGTGCCATCTTGATGAGTGCAAATGCGATAGTCCTTCTACCACTTTAGCGCTCACCAGTTGGTGCCACTGTCTTCGCTACTAGCAAGTGACAGGACCTTACTCTACAGTGGCGCTAACTGGTAAGCGCTAAAAAGATAGCCCTCATTAGTTTGTTTGCGCGAGACATACGGTGAGTTTAAAGTTTCTGAAATAATAATTACGTACTAGTAAGTGAGTCAATGCCTGGCGTTTGACGTAACGTCAAACGTTAACGAGACTTCAGATGTGCTTCGGACTTGTATACTCTGTCACGTCATATGTCACCCCTCCCGTGTCAATCCCATACCTCAGGCACTGACACTAATCAGATGTGCTTTGCGCATCTATCTATATCTAAATTGGAAGTTTGGCGATTCACGTGCGTACCTTCAACTATCTTACTTCGATTCACTTCGGCCATTACAACAGATTCTGATTAGCTGAGGTATTTCGATATCTTGCCATTTACATTATTACTGTTTCTTCCAGATCCTAGCAGACAGCCTAGAATCAGTCCCAGTCATGCCGAACCCAGCGGAAGACGAGCAACTCAACTCTTCGCATCACAACGCGTCAGTGGACCGACTGCGAGAACTACTGGTGGTTGGGCTCGGGAACAAAGGCTCGCGAGTGCTGATGCTGATGCGCTGCGATAACACGCTGATGGTCTACCAGGTACGTGAGTCGTATGTGATACGTGTGAGTCGTATGTGATACGTGTGACTCGCATGTGATACATGTGAGTCGCATGTGATACATGTGAGTCGTATGTGATACATGTGAGTCGTATGTGATACATGTGAGTCGTATGTGATACACGTGAGTCGTATCACATCGCCTCAGTGGACCGATTACGAGAACTACTGGTGGTTGGGCTCGGGAACAAAGGATCTCGAGTGCTGATTCTAATGCGCTGCGATAACACGCTGATGGTCTACCAGGTACGTGAGTCGTATGTGATACATGTGAGTCGCATGTGATACATGTGAGTCGTATGTGATACATGTGAGTCGCATGTGATACATGTGAGTCGCATGTGATACACGTTAGTCGTATGTGATACATGTGTGTCGCATGTGATACATGTGAGTCGAATGTGATACATGTGAGTCGCATGTGATACATGTGAGTCGCATGTGACACACGTGAGTAAAATCACAACGCCTCAGTGGACCGACTACGAGAACTACTGGTGGTTGGGCTCGGGAACAAAGGCTCGCGAGTGCTGATGCTAATGCGCTGCGATAACACGCTGATGGTCTACCAGGTACGTGAGTCGTATGTGATACACGTGAGTCGTATGTGATACATGTGAGTCGTATGTGATACACGTGAGTCGTATGTGATACATGTGAGTCGTATGTGATACATGTGAGTCGTATGTGATACATGTGAGTCGCATGTGATACATTTGAGTCGCATGTGATACATGTGAGTCGCATGTGATACATGTGAGTCGTATGTGATGCTTGTGAGTCGTATGTGATACATGTGAGTCGCATGTGATACACGTGAGTCGTATCACAACGCGTCAGTGGACCGATTGCGAGAACTACTGGTGGTTGGGCTCGGGAACAAAGGCTCCCGTGTTCTGATGCTGATGCGCTGCGATAACACGCTGATGGTCTACCAGGTACGTGAATCATACGCAGGGATGTTATGGATATCTGTAACCATAACCGAAACTATCGGATATTCGAAATAAAAAAATATCCGTAACCGTAACCAAATCCGATTAAAAGTTTCGGATAGTTTCGGATAAAGGCGGAGTTTAAATCTTAATGATTTTAATATTTGTTACATATTAAAATCATTAAGATTAAGCATCTTGCTAAGTATTTGAATATTACCATTTTAAAATTCTAATATCCGTAACCGAAATTATCTGAAACTTTCGGTTATGATTCGATTTCGAATCCGAAATTATTTACTATCCGTAACCGTAACCGAAACCGGTATAATATCATTCTAATATCCGTAACCGTATCCATAACGGAAACTTCATATCCATAAAACTCAGTAAAACTCATTTATTTCTGTAAGTAGGCTTTAAAAAAGCACTTTTACACGTCCCAGTATTAACCCTACCACTGCTTCAGGACAATAAATGGGCCAGTGCTGAGAAGAAGCAGCGCAAGAAACTCAGACACTATATAACATCCCTGATCATATGTGATACTTGTGACTGTGAGTCGTATGTGATCCATGGGTAAAGTACTGGTGTATCCCGTATTGGGGATGGCACATGGGACATTAGAAAAGTTTGGGTTTTTTTAACTCATATTATACAAGAGCAGTCCTCGTGAATTATACAGGGTGTTAGGTAAATGGGTATGTGAGCCGACACTAGACCATGATAACATAGTCATATAAATGGTATGGTGAAGTCAGAAATTTGATATCATCATTTTAATTTTTTTATTTTCATACAAAATAAATTTTGTAAAATCCGATTTGTATGAAAATTAAAATAATTAAAATGTAGATATCAATTTTCTGACTTCACCATACCATTTATATGAGCATGTTAACATGGGCTAGTGTCGGCTCATATACCCATTTACCTAACACCCTGTATATGATTTATCACTGAAATAAGAATCGCACTTTTTAACCATCAATTTCACAAAGGTTTAAATAGGTATAATGATATGAGTACATTCGAATAACGTTCGTATTCACAAACATTACGGGACTATTCCCACCTCTCGTTCCCACCACTGCAACTCCTTTGTAGCCAGGATCTACAGCTTGACCGCCACAAAAACCCAACCAATGAAGGTCAAGTTTGTCCCGGGGGAAAGTTAAACTGTCATTGGACCCGCAACGAAATTAATCAGAAGAACATAGGAGGAGTTCGAAATTAAGGTTCGACTTCCCTCCATTGCAAAGCGGATGACAGGTGACAAACAAAGGTTTAAAACCTTTAAGAAAATATTATGCACCACGGACAATAAATTAAATTAGGGGGCCTATCTTATTGGCATATCTTATATTCACAAACATTACTATGAGATCTCATAGTGCGCGTGGACGCACAGAGCAACCAATCACAGAGCTCTAATCAACGCTGTGCGTTCGATTTGCTGCTTCACTTAAGCGAGTATCGTTTGTGAATACGGGCGTAAGAGTATGTTCCAAAGTGAAAGCAAATCTTTGCAGGTATACAACTCTCATTAATCCCTACTTTTTTTGTGAGCTTTCAAATCGACGTGACATCTTTTCCACCACAGTCTTGTTAAATAACTTGTTAAACTGTATCTTCATGGCATAAAGTTCACATATCATTGCAGGCTTACAAATACCCCCGAGGCAACTTAAAGATGCGTTTCTCCCGAATGAACGTGAGCTTTCCATTCGGTTACGCGGGCGGCGATCCGGCGCCCGCTGACTCGTACGAAGGCACCTTCCTAAGGGAACACGTGAGGCAGATGCGGTACTTTGGTGAGTGAACTTGAGTATTTACAGGTTGTCCCAAAATTAGCACGTCACACTGACACTGGAAGTAGCTGGGCTGGGCTTAAATGTACCGAACAAGCAAAAGTTTTGCGCCGACCCTCATGCCACTTCTGAAAATTCGGGTACGAAGTTTGCTACATCTTTTCAACCTGCAAATCTCCCTAGTTTGGATTTTAATTTGTCAACTTAAAATTATACAAAACTATACAAAAAAATAGGCCGTGGAAAGTGCTCCTATGAATTTTAGTGGACCACTCACTACGTACTACATTGTCAATATAAATCTGGGCAAAATACCGTTAAGCTCACTGCGGCACTGACGAGGGCCAGAACTTTACAATGGCGCCATCTTAATGCACGCTTCAGCACTCACTAGTTGGCACTACTATTGTCATGGAGGTTTAACGCTTACCTCAAGTCAGTGCCTGAGATATGTGAGCGGCAGAGGAGGGATGATATTGACATTTATAACGTGACACTCTCCCGTGCCGCTTCCATACTTGAGGCACTAACTGAATTAAGCGTTAAGGCAATTATCACACTGCACCGCGCTGCGCCGCGGTCCGCGTGGCGTCATATAATGAATCCCGCGCGCAAACGCGTTGTCAGTGTGTTGTGCCGCGCGTGTTTTCTATACAAAATGAGGTACTTGCATATTGCAATCTGTCGTCCCGCGTACCGCGTCGGAGCGCGGTGCAGTGTGATAATCGCCTAAATCTATAGCGAGTGACAGGATTTTACAGTGGCGCCAACTGGTAAGCGCAAATACGATAGCCCTCATTTACAAAGCAATTTTACTGTCACAGGCAACGTAGGAGCAGAGTAAATACAAATTTGTATTTACTCTGGTAGGAGGCTTCTTATTAACAAAGACTTGTTATTGTGTCACAGGAAACGTGGGCGGTTACAACGGGGTATTCATCTGCGGGCCCACGCCCTACGTGCTGCTACTGACGGCCCGCGGGGAGATCCGGCTGCACCCGCTGGCGGCCTCAGACACCACCGTCGTCGCCTTCGCTTCGTTCAACAACACCAACTGTCCGCAGGGCTTCCTGTACTTTACTGCCGATGTGAGTCGCTGCTGTATCTTAAGACAATGACAGGACGCGCGACCGATGACAGGACGCGCTAACAGTGACAGGACGCGCTAACAGTGACAGGACGCGCGACCAATGACAGGACGCGGGCCCACGCCCTACGTGCTGCTACTGACGGCCCGCGGGGAGATCCGGCTGCACCCGCTGGCGGCCTCAGACACCACCGTCGTCGCCTTCGCTTCGTTCAACAACACCAACTGTCCGCAGGGCTTCCTGTACTTTACTGCCGATGTGAGTCGCTGCTGTATCTTAAGACAATGACAGGACGCGCGACCGATGACAGGACGCGCTAACAGTGACAGGACGCGCTAACAGTGACAGGACGCGCTAACAGTGACAGGACGCGCGACCAATGACAGGACGCGCGACCAATGACAGGACATGCGACCAATAACAGGACGAGCGACAAATGACAGGACGAGCTACCTATGACGGGACGCGCGACCGATGACAGTATTCGATGATGTGAGTCTTCATCATCGACGTCCACTGCTGAACATAGATATGTTATTCTGATTAATTTTGTTGCGGGTCCAATGACAGTTGAACTTTCTCCCGCGACAAGCTTCCTTTTTATTGGCGGTCAAGCTGTAGGTTCTGGCTACACAGGAGTTGCAGCGATGGGAACGAGAGGAACATAGACCATAGACCAATGATAGGCTTCCCCCGATGATTTCCAAATTGTTTGATTTGATAGTTTTTTTATTTATTTATTTATTTGGAAACTCAACAGCTTGGTCGACAATTTACATGTTACAGAGTAGTACATTATATAACTCTAGCCAATTACAGAGTCTCACAGCTAATTTAAGTGTGTAGGATTTTGAACGTCATGTGGCAAAAATCAAAAACTGACAACCCAGTATTGATAGTAGTGCCCTCCTGAAAATGTCATGGCTGAAACGGTTCAATGTTATTATGTGTGTGTCAGTAAAGTTTTTATCTATCTACTAGCGGCCGCCCGCGACTTCATACGCGTGGATCCCGTTTTACCCCCTTAGTGGTGGAATTCAGTAAAATCCATTCTTAGTGAGCACCTACGTTCTAAAAGGAACCTCCATGCATGCCTCCTGCACTTGTAGTTTCTGAGATTTCGTGATGAGTGAATCAGTCAATCAGTGACCTTTCGCTTTTATAGATGTAGATTCATCCAGTCTCATGTAAAATGTTTCTTTCCCCAGTCGGAGCTCCGCATCTGCGCTCTACCCACCCACCTATCCTACGACGCTCCCTGGCCAGTGCGGAAAGTCCCCATCCGAATGACGCCGCACTTCGTGACGTACCACATGGAGTCCAAGACTTATTGCCTGGTCGCGTCTACGTCACACCCCACGCAGACTTACTACAAGTTTAATGGGGAAGATAAGGAGAAGTCTAATGAGAATAAGGGAGACAGGTGAGCTTTATACTCCAGCTTTCGCCAGCGCTATCGTTTTTATACAGTTGTAATCACTAGCGATTGACATGACACTACTCTACAATGGCGCCATCTTTGTAAGTACAAATGCGATAGTCCTACCGCTTCAGCGCTCACCATTTTACGCGATTGTCTTTCGTCACTGTCACCGTGACCTTACTCTATAGTAGCGCCAAATGTTAAGCGCTGAAACGATAGCCCTCGTAATCATATTATGACGCCGCACTTCGTGACGTAGTACAACATGGAGTCCAAGACCTACTGCCTGGTCGCGTCTACGTCACACCCCACGCAGACTTACTACAAGTTCAACGGGGAAGATAAGGAGAAGTCTAATGAGAATAAAGGGGACAGGTGAGCTTTATATTACAGCCATCGTTTTTTTTACTTAACGGTTGGCACCACTAGACATGACCCTACTCTACATTTGTGACATCCAGATGAATGCAAATGTGAGCCTACCATTTCAGTGCTATCCAGTTGGCGCCACTGTCTTCTGTCACTGTCACAGTGACCTTACTCTACAGTGGCGCCATCTTGGTAAGTAGAAATGCAATAATCCTACCGCTTAAGCGCTCACCAGTTGGCGCCACTGTTCTCTATAAATGTCACAGTGACCTTACTCTACAATGGCGCCATTTTGGTGAGTATAAATGCGAGTCCTCTTAGCGCTTCAGCGCTACCAGTTGGCGCCACTGTCTTCGCCATTAGCAAGTGACCTTACTCAACAGAGGCGCTAACTGGTGATCACTAATACGATAGCCCTCATTATCATATGACGCTGCACTTCGTGACATACCACATGGAGTCCAAGACCTACTGCCTGGTCGCGTCTACGTCACACCCCACGCAGACTTACTACAAGTTTAATGGCGAGGATAAAGAAAAATCCAATGAGAATAAGGGAGACAGGAGAGCTTTGTATTACAGCCATCGTTTTTTTACTTAACGGTTGGCACCACTAGACATGACCCTACTCTACATTTGTGACATCCAGATGAGTGCAAATGTGATCCTACCGTTTCAGTGCTATCCAGTTGGCGCCACTGTCTTCTGCCACTGTCACAGTGACCTAACTCTACAGTGGCGCCATCTTGGTAAGTAGAAATGCAATAGTTCAGCGCTCGTCAGTTGGCAACACTATATTCTGTCACTGTCACACCTTACTCTACAGTGGCGCCATCCTAGTGAGTGCAAATTCGATAGTATAATACCGCTTCAGCGCTCATCAGTTGGTGCCATTGTCTTCGTCACTAGCAAGTAACTTTACTGTTCAGTCACGCCAACTGGTGAACACTAAAACGATAGCCCTCATTATCACATGACGCCGCACTTCGTGACGTACCACATGGAGTCCAAGACCTACTGCCTGGTCGCGTCTACGTCACACCCCACGCAGACTTACTACAAGTTCAACGGGGAAGATAAAGAAAAGTCCAATGAGAATAAGGGAGACAGGTGAGCTTTATGTTACAGCCTTTGCCCGCTGCTTCGTCTTTGTTTAATAGGGCTATCGTGTTTAGGATTTCGTAGTCCTGACAAGGCGCCACTAATTAGCGATTGACATGACCCTACTCTACAGTGAGTGAGTGTAAATGCGACAGCCCTCATACCGCTTCAGCGCTCATCAGTTGGCGCCACTGTCATCGCCACTAGCAAGTGACAGTGACGTCTACAGTAGCCTGGCCACTGTGGAGAGAATAAGGCAAATTCTTCATTTACTTCTGGTAAATTAAAGACTGACGAACTGCAGCAGGAAGGTTCTGGAGTGGAGGCCGTAATCCGTATCGTAAAATGCAGCGCAGACGAGTGGATGTCCAAGGTGGACCAACGACCTCATAAAGGTAGCAGGAAGGTGTTGGATACAGGCCGCTACCAACCAGTCAATATGGAAATCCAATTCTTCTTCTTATTCGTTACGCTCTTGAAATCTAATTGGGAGAGGCCTATGTTCAGCAGTGGACGTCCTATGGCTGAAAACGGTGATGACGACTCTTGACTCAGCACTTGCCAAATGTTGGTCTCGAACCGCTGGTGGGGCAAAAAAAGAATGAGACATATAAAGGCTCCTTGTCTATACAAATAAAGATAATTTTGATTGTGATGATGATAACTAATGTGTATTTATCCTCAGATTCCCGTACCCGCTTCAAGAGCGGTTCTCCGTGGCGCTGTTCTCTCCGGTATCCTGGGAGCTGATCCCCAACACGCGCATCGAGCTGGACGACTGGGAGCACGTCACCTGCCTCAAGAACGTGGCGCTGTCCTACGAGGGCACCAGGTAATAGCCTTATCAGGGCTCTAGGTAACCGTCTCAGAAGGACACCAGGTATCCATCTCAGAAGGACTCCAGGTAACCGTCTGACTAGGGCACCAGGTATCCATCTTAGAAGGACACCAGGTATCCACATCAGAAGGACACCAGGTATCCAACTCAGAAGGACACCAGGTATCCATCTCAGAAGGACACCAGGTAACCGTCTGACTAGGGCACCAGGTATCCATCTTAGAACGACACCAGGTAACCATCTCAGCAGGACACCAGGTAACCGTCTCACCAGGGCACCAGGTAACGCTTTAAGAGCGGTTCTCCGTGGCGCTGTTCTCTCCGGTCTCCTGGGAGCTGATCCCCAACACGCGCATCGAGCTGGACGACTGGGAGCACGTCACCTGCCTCAAGAACGTGGCGCTGTCCTACGAGGGCACCAGGTAATAGCCTTATCAGGGTTCTAGGTAACCGTCTCAGAAGGACACCAGGTAACCGTCTCACCTGGATACCAGATAACTGTCGCACTAGGGCACCAGGTATCCATCTTAGAGGGCACCAGGTATCCATCTCAGAAAGACACCAGGTAACTGTCTCAGAAGGACACCAGGTATCCAACTCAGAAGGACACCAGGTAACCGTCTCACTTGGGCACCAGGTATCCATCTCAGAAGGACAACAGGTATCCACCTCAGAAGGACACCAGGTATCCACCTCAGAAGGACACCAGGTATCCATTTCAGAAGAACACCAGGTATCCAACTCAGAAGGACACCAGGTATCCAACTTAGAAGGACAACATGTATCCACCTCAGAAGGGCACCAGGTATCCGCCTCAGAAGGACACCAGGTAAATGTCCCAGAAGGACACCAGGTATCCACCTCAGAAGGACAACAGGTATCTACCTCAGAAGGACAACAGGTATCCACCTCAGAAGGACACCAGGTAACCGTCTCAGAAGGACACCAGGTAACCGTCTCAGAAGAACACCAGGTATCCATCTCAGAAAGACAACAGGTAACCGTCTCACCAGGGCACCAGGTAACGCTTCAAGAGCGATTCTCTGTAGCGCTGTTCTCTCCGGTCTCATGGGAGCTGATCCCGAATACGCGCATCGAGCTTGACGACTGGGAGCACGTCACCTGCCTCAAGAACGTGGCGCTGTCCTACGAGGGCACCAGGTAACAGCCTTATCAGGGTTCTAGGTAACCGTCGCACTAGGGCACCAGGTATCCATCTTAGAGGACACCAGGTATCTAACTCAGGAGGACACCAGGTATCCATCTCAGAAGGACACCAGGTATCCAACTCAGAAGGACACCAGGTATCCATCTTAGAGGACACCAGGTATCTAACTCAGGAGGACACCAGGTATCCATCTCAGAATAATAAATAAAAATAAATAAAATAAAATCTTTTTATTTACTTTTACAAGCAGGTATTTACATTAATCTGAGGCTGGGGCCTACCTAGTAAGTATATGGATATACCTGTGGCAGGAGGCCCCGCTCTTCTTACACTGGTTACGATAATTTAAGTACATAGGTAATCTTTAACACTAGTATGCAAAATAAAATCATCTTTTTAGATTTCAGTAGAAGTTTTTTACAGAAGCAAATTCTTACAATTTTTAAATATTTAAATAACGGTCGATTCTCACTGTTTGTAANGTGTGTGTGTGTGTGTGCGTGTGTGTGTGTGTGCGTGTGTGTGTGTGTGTGAGAGAGAGAGAGAGAGTGTGTGTGTGAGTTTGTGTGCGATGGGTAGCCCTACGATTTTAATCTTGGGATCGGTTTTTAAAGACCACTACTCAAAACACGGTTAGGTTCGAATAAAAGCCTACAGTACAGGCCTTGAAAGAAGGTCTTCTAAGTCATGGTAGCCAAAAGATGCAAGTCCCTTTATCAGGATTTTTTCACATTCAAAGTATTGCAATTTATAAATATTAAGTCTTTTATGCAATCTATTGTATACAAAAGTAGACTGAACATAAAATTGCCGTCTGGCAAATTCAGTTTTACAAGTCGGAATAGGTATCACATTGTTTTGTCTTCTACCAGTCATCAAGTCGGGTTTGTATGTCATGGTTTTATGTACTTTAAGTGTTGATGCTAGGACATATAGTTTTCTAACCGACATTATGTTATAGGTTTCGTATAATTCGTCTGTGGGAAATTTGTACGGTTTAAAAAACATCGTCTTTAGTAAGCATCTTTGTGCTCTCTCTACCTCGAGGAATTTAGATTTTGTGGCACCTCCCCAGATAGCTATGCAATATATCATGACAGATTGGGCCAAAGCTATGTAGATGCTGTAGAGAAGATTTTGAGAAGTGACGTGCCTCAGTTTTTTGAAGATCCACACAAGTTTTCTTATTCTATCATCAATATGATCTATTTGATGATGCCAAGATAGCCGTTGGTCGAGAGTTACCCCGAGGTACTTAGTGAAGTTTACACATTTGATTGCAGCACAACCGCAGGATTTGGTGTTGCTGTAGTCGCAGTAGTGAATTTTTAGTTCGTAGTTAATAGATGGTTGTGTTCGTTTATTAATAGCAAAGCAAATATAGTTGGTCTTAGCAATATTTAGGGTTAAGAGAGCAGATTTGAGCCAGTTAGAGATCTTAAAGAGTCCTTTCTCCGCTATATCAAACACAGAGTTCCAGGAGGAGCCTCCAAATACGATGGCCGTGTCATCCGCGTAGGAAAAAATACGACCACCCTCAATATTAAGGTTTGTCAAGTCATTTAGATATATTAGAAATAGAGTGGGGCCCAGTACGCTACCCTGTGGTACTCCGTACTCAGTGGTTGTAGCGTTACTTAAATAACCGTCTATCCTAACACACTGCGATCTGTCCCGAAGATAGTCTGTTAGTAGGTTTAATGGAGTACCCCGAATGCCAATGTTTTCAATTTTTTCTAGGAGTACGGGTATGGCCACTGTGTCAAAGGCCTTTTTTAGGTCTAAGAAGACCGTTAGACACTTAGTTCCTTGATCTAAATATTTAGTGACCAGAGAAGACAAATCCATGACCGCATCTTCGGTGGATTTCCCCTTACGGAAGCCAAATTGGGAGGTGGAAATGATTTTGAAATTTTCAAGGTAGTTAATGATTCGAGCATTAATAAGTCTTTCGATTATTTTTGAGATAGCCGGCAGGACAGAAATAGGTCTGTAGTTATTAAGGTCGCTTTTGTTACCGCCTTTGTAGACTGGTGTGACGATGGATTTTTTTAGAACAGTGGGAAAGATACCTTTCTCAAAGCAGAGGTTTGCTAAATGGCAGATGATGGGAACAACAATGGGTCTGACCATTTNTTGATGAAGACAAAATTGAGGAAAATGATCTGTTTCTGAGTTAATTTATGTAACGTGTAATTCATTTTTTTTTTCTGTTTCTGAGTTAATTTATGTAACGGTTTCCTCGGGATAAAGGAAGTAGTCGAAGCATGTAGTGTAGAAGTTGGCATGTTTTCTGTAATAGCAGATGCTATTGCAAATACAGATGTATTTGACGTTGTTTTTCCACTAGGTTCAGTAATTGAACCAACATTTTCCTCAATTTTGTCTTCATCAATAACTAGTTGCCAGACCCAGTTAATTGGAGATTCAAGGCAATCACTGTTTCTTCTTTAAAATTAGGGAAGAGATAGATGACAGTTTGTCCATCGTCCATTAAGATTAGTACAAAAATTCCGGCAAACTTTTTTTAACTTAACACTGTTTTCTTCTGACAAATGTACCATTTTCTGCTAAAGGTGATTATAAAGTTCCTCACTGTCCATGAAAGGTTTTAAGGTATTTCTTAAGACTACGAACAAATCTATATTATTCACAATAGCTTCCATTGTAATTACATGTTAAAAACCGCATTTAAAGTTGAATGTTTTTGGTGACGTTACACAGCCCAAACTAAATTTAAAACAAATAAACAATCCTTCTGTTTTTTACCCCCACCCCTGACCATTATCTGCTTATTCGCAAAACACGTTATTTACGAGGTATGAGTAACTTCATTGTTGTTTTAAAGACATGTGCTGATAGGAAAGAAAGGGTTTAACAGATTCTGAGAATAGATAACAATGTCGCCTAACGATAAAATCACTTTCTAGTACCGTAATCGAAGCTTTTTCTAAAAAAAAGAACTAAAATACAATTACAAGAAGAGTCAATTTTATTTTTTTGCGGAATCGTTTAACGGGCTAAGTTGCGGTTTGGAGCAGCTGGAAATAGCTTAGAATATTAATAAATAATGCAGTTATACCGACCTAGGTTGTTTCAAGTCACGATCTAGCAGGTCTTCGGAGAAAATTAGCACTTTATGTCTCGTTTCATACAAAAAAAACACAAATTATTTTTTTTAAGCTAAAGTATCAGGTTTAGAGAAAAATGTAATATGACATGTCGTGATGAGTGAGCAAAGGACTATCGATTGGCAATTTTTAAAATTCGATTTTCCGGAAAAAATCCCTATGTCCACTTTAATGCCATTTTGATCCACCGTGCGATGTGGCCTACTTTTGGGCGAGGATTCCTCCTTTATTCGTTTAATTAAAGTACCTACGAGGCTTGTTTAGAAGCAACTATTTATTTATTATCATAGATAGTTATCAGTATTCGTGATTGAAAAGTAACGGAACGCGTTTAACACCGTCAAAGTTACACTGCAAAGCCACTAATCAGCCAAGTGGCAAACGCAGTTTTGACATTTAGATTGCTTGTAAATTAAAATAAGTTAGACGACGCCTGTCTTACGCATTGATGAAAAATTTGACCGCAATATGTTCAAACGCCCAAATGACCAAGATCAATATAGCACGCCAGCAGTGACTACGGATTAAACCTATGTCTAGAACATTTTAGGCACATAGACTTTTTACAACAACCAGCATTTGACCAATAAAGTCGCCAGATGTCGCTATATGATATCAGGTAGTCATATTGACTTACTGATAGTTGTTGTTTATTGTAAATACAAACTACCAAAACCTATGAAAAACAGGATATTCCGTAACAGTTTTTCAATAGGTCTGACGCAGAATGTGCACTTCGCAAAATGCGCACTTTTCTATACAAATGTAAGGGCTCAAGAGTATATTTCTAAAAACATAGTATGGAAAAATGTGCATATTGTGAAGTGCACATTTTGCGTCAGACACCCAGTCAGTTAATTCGACTTCAAATATCAGTGACGGGCTAACAATTTAAGTTTTAAAGACACATCGCGACATCTCGATCTTGTACGTTAACAAGTTCGACGGTCACAACGGCTAGAGATGTGTCTATTCCATAAAGTTAATATTCTTTCGGAATAGAGCAACAACCACAAGCTGTCGACTGTGGATGACACTGGATATCATTTATGTATCAGTGTCAGGATCATTTCACTGTTTTGTACAATAAATCAATCACTGAACCAGTCACCACGTTTCTGAAGCGCTATTTCTCAAACATCCACGATTTTACTCACGTAAAATCTGAAAATATCTCAGAGTTCAAATTTTCAGCGTACCACTAAGTGCCTAGCTCTGAACTGTCAAATAGTGGAAAAAAAAACAGTTCTGTTTGACGTGACGGCGACGGCATCACGAATCTTTTTATCACAGTGTTGCTGCTAGTGACATCTCGCTCGCTCAGTTTTTTCCGCTAGGTATACAGGGTGGAAACGATAAGTGATCACACTCGATTATTTCTAAACTATACAAGATATCAATAAACTGGTTACTGATCCTGAAAGTGCTTCATGAGCTCTATCAAACTGTATTAATAATAGGTTACAGAATAAACTGGATCTATCCAAAAATTTAATGTTTCCTTCTTCCATACATTTTGTACTACCACATTCATGACACTCATCTCTTGACAATATTATAGTAAGTAAAGCCTAAAAAAAAACAATGTTTTCCATGAATAATTTAAAATAAGAATACAATTTACGAGTTTATTTTAAGAGTTTATCTATATATATAAAAATGAAACCCGTTTCGCGTTGTCACGGCATCACGTGTGAACGGCTGAACCGATTTCGATAATTCTTTTTTTTTAAATGTTTGTGGAAGTCCAAGGATGGTTCTTACGGAAAAAAATATTAAGAAAATCTCTACGCTAAGGCGGTACGAAGTTCGCCGGGTCAGCTAGTTATTAAATAAAAAATACACTTCTAATATTGTGTGTCTGGCATACATTTAGTATGGAAGCTGGAAACATTGAATTTTCAGATAGATCCAGTTTATTTTGTAACCTATTATTGGTACCGTTTGAAAGAGCTCATGAAGCACTTTCAGGATCAGTAACCAGTTTATTGATATCTTGTATAGTTTAGAAATAATCGAGTCAGATCACTTAACGTTTCCACCCTGTATTAACTTTATGGTCTAATCAGGATACACACACCTCATATCAGGCATGAAATGCACATCTCTAGTCAACTGCAACTCAACGCTATTATTGTGATTATTTTGGCTATGACAGCATTTGTGTCATCAAAGAGCAGGTCTTCAGTGACGTAGAAATGCCACCGCACTGTACTGCTGGTGTCGCGAAATAATAGCAATCATATTCATAGCTCATTATAGCCTCAGCCGAGCGCTGGTAACCCCGGCACAGCATGTGCATGTGGATTGAGTGATCCTTGCTTCAATCTTAACAAAAATCGAGGAAGTTTTACTTAAAATATGTTAAAACATTGCGATGAAGTTTAAAAATTTGTTAAACCTAAGATAAAAATGTTATGGCCAATAAATAGGAGCACTCATACCGCACGCTTTAAGAAAACGTCAACATGTTTATTTCAGAAAATAAAGCCTTTCCACTTCTTTTTATAGTATTGAAAAATTGTTAAGAATATGTTAAAACTATTAACAAATTCAGAAATTCCTTGCACGTCCCGTTCGAAAGTTATGACGATTATTTAGGATCACTCACACCGCACACGGGCCGTATGAGTGCTCTTCAAAATAATGACTTTTTATTAATAAATACGTTTTATTTCTGTTGGGAAATGTGTGCAAACTGACGAGCGAATTTGTTAAAGAATAAGTGTGACAAAACTTAAAAGCTGAAGGAATAAATTAACCTTTATTCTTTCCTCCAATATGCCGTGTGAGTGATCCTTACTTTTACCTCTATCTGCTCATATGTAGTTCGTAGGCAGACTGAGATAGTATCTAAAATTGTTAATTGTTTTTAACAATTATTTGGCATATATTTTGCTTTTATTAAGGTCATAATTTAAGAAATATCAGGCTTAGATGATTCCTAAAGGAAAATGTTGATTAGGGTACATATGATTTTTTATTTTGTGAGACTGTTCCGATTCGTCAGACGTGACAATGCAAAACCAATGCAATCTAATATGTAGTAGGTTTAGGGGCCTCCGCTAAAACTCGCGGGGGGCGTCCGTCGCCGCGGTCGGCAGTAGCGCGAGTTTTAGTGGTTTACCCCTACATCTTGAATGATAGAAATAAAGAAACATTACAATTGTTTATAGGATTGAATTCAAATTTGACTTGTAATATGAATTGAGAAAGATACTCACGGTTTTATTTAAATAAATTACAAATTTCTCAACAAAACTGTTTTTTTTGGTTGGACTATAAAATACGATAAAATAATATTATTAAATCTCACATGTAAACTTCTGATGAATCGAAACAGTCTCTCAAAATAAAAAATCATACGTACCCTAATCACCATTTTCCTTTAGGAATCATCTAAGCCTGATATTTCTTAAATTATGACCTTAATAAAAGCAAAATATATGCCAAATAATTGTTAAAAACAATTAACAATTTTAGATACTATCTCAGTCTGCCTACGAACTACATATGAGCAGATAGAGGTAAAAGTAAGGATCACTCACACGGCATATTGGAGGAAAGAATAAAGGTTAATTTCTTCCTTCAGCTTTTAAGTTTTGTCACACTTATTCTTTAACAAATTCGCTCGTCAGTTTGCACACATTTCCCAACAGAAATAAAACGTATTTATTAATAAAAAGTCATTATTTTGAAGAGCACTCATACGGCCCGTGTGCGGTGTGAGTGATCCTAAATAATCGTCATAACTTTGGAACGGGACGTGCAAGGAATTTCTGAATTTGTTAATAGTTTTAACATATTCTTAACAATTTTTCAATACTATAAAAAGAAGTGGAAAGGCTTTATTTTCTGAAATAAACATGTTGACGTTTTCTTAAAGCGTGCGGTATGAGTGCTCCTATTTATTGGCCATAACATTTTTATCTTAGGTTTAACAAATTTTTAAACTTCATCGCAATGTTTTAACATATTTTAAGTAAAACTTCCTCGATTTTTGTTAAGATTGAAGCAAGGATCACTCAATCCACATGCACATCGGCACAGCGTAGTAGGACTAATGAAAGTTATTTTATGTTACGTGTAATAAAAATTACGCAAAAGCATAAACCCCAGCTTGATTGGGTTGTATTTTAAGAAATTGATATATAGCTTATTATGAGATTTCCGTTTTGTAAATGTTGTTATTTTTTTATTCATTCTGTTATCGTGGGTCAACGGATCGAATAACATTACAGCACATTGCAAGAGCGTGCGCATTGCGCTCCATTCAACTATAGGTCTCTGGCACACAGCGGACGTGAGTGCGGTTTAGTGCGAGCACCGTTTAGGTTTCTACACAATTTGACAGCCGTCGCCTCGCACTAGGGTTCTCTATTAGTTTCAATACTAAAACAACTATTTATATTACACCTACTGGTTGTTTTATTCTCTTTTAACACCTAAACTATTCCGAAAGTGCTAATGAGAATCACTACAAACTAAACATTGTCTGAGTTGGCAGTTGGCACTGTCCTTTGAATCTCCTTGAATTTTATGTTTGTTAGCGTAACAATCGAATTATATTTGTTAGCTTGGTGTTTGTCAAAGATACCATAGCAAGTCGCAGTTATCAAGTGCTTTTAAGAACAAACAGACGTCACGTTTATTATTGGATATAAATTAGAGTCCTTAAATTTAAATTAAGACTAAATTGTAGTATTTACAGAGTTATTTACGTGATGCTTAAAGGTAGCTATTTACATAATGTACAACATGTTATCTGAAATCAAATGTTTTGATGATTTAGAAATGATGTGTTAGCTACCTGAGATAGTGCCCACTCCACTGAGTTTGCTGAGTAATGACGATGAGGAGCCGAACATTCCATTGCTCGTGAGACCTTGGGCTAAACTGCTGACATTTCTGTAACGCATACAATGAAAATGTCAAGAAAGCACACCATCATTAGAGGAAAAGTAATTCGAATACTGAAACAAGATAATAAAAACGTCATGCAAATATATAAATACTGTACAATATTAAAATGTAAATGTATAAAATTTTACATAGCGCTGGTATATAAAATATTTACAATATACAATGGCGCACACTCTGACCATAACACGCGCGCACATACGTAAACTCGTTTGCATAAAGTCAGCCGTTCGAGCTTTGTAAACTGCAGCCGAGAACCTGAATAAACTTTACCGAGTTTATTGTACTTACTGATCACAGAGCAGGACCAAAAGCAGTGGGAGTCGTTAAAAATAATTTATTTACCATTTACTTGTTTCCATAACGGTTGCGGTAAAACTACTTTGTGCCCGGTAATGCGAATCGCCGTGGCGTACATTTTGGGTCAATGAATATTGTACGTTCGTGCAACGAGTTTTAGACGTGCGCGCACGTTGTGGCGGCGTGCGCCGGGCGCCGGGCGGTGGTAGGCGCGGTAGCGGTGTGCACCTGTACTTGGCGGTCTCGGCGCCGGGCGCGGCGGAGACGGGGCGCAGGCCGACGGGCCCGAGCGCGGCGCCCAGCGGCGGCGACAGCGGCGAGGGCCCCCACTTGCGCGCGTACTCCTGCAGCGAGGACGCCGGCCCGCCGCCGCCGAACTCCAGCGAGTCGCGCCGCGCGCCGCCCGCGCCGCCTGCAACACGACATACCTCCGCGCTCCAAACTCCGCTCTGTGCACAGTGCACTCTGCCCGACCTGCGAGCCCCACGCTCTACGTACTCTCTACCTTCTGTACACGACCCTACGTCTTGTGACCGACTTGTGATGAGTCTATGTACAAAATTATAGAAGTACGGATAATATACACTACACATATACAAACAACTTGTCGCGTTGTGAGGAGGAAGATGCTTATACGTTAAATTATCTGGATTATGTAAATAATTGTGTATGATTTATCAATGAATTAATATGTATTTACTTTTGGTTTGAGAAATTCACAAATTAATTAATAAAATTATCTATTTTTTGATCCGATACGCCCCAAAACGTTAGTATTTTGTATGCAATCTACTCATGACAACTCATTAATAAGCACAAGGTCAAAGTGTTCGACGGTCAAACGCAGCATTTATTTATTAGTTATGAATAAATGTTAAGGTAAAGGTAATACATATTATTACGAAAGCAATCTTTAGAATGTTTTATAAACAGAGATTTTTTTTACAATCGACAACAGCAGTTATTTACGTAGACACTTTAATAAATAAATACAATCTATTTTTAACACTGTGTCATTTTGTTAATCGGAGTGTAGTGACACAAATAGGTACATGTCTCACTTATTAAAGTGATTGGTTTGAATTCTCAGTTCTAACTAAAGTTGTCCATTAAAAAGTAATTAGGTTGCAATTTATCTATCATATAAGTTTCTAAATATTTGATGAGCCACATATCTACCTCTCTGCATCGTCTTGGGAAGAAAAATATTAATCAAGATCCTTATTTTTTCCGTAACACTAGTAACTTAATTTAACGACATTATTTGGATTGTTTAGACTGTACTATCAAGAAATTATTATAACAAGTTGACCGTAAACAAGACGAGTGAATATGGGTAGTATGCTTATGTTATAGCCAAACTAGTCAATTGAAAAGTGGACACTATTTTTCGAAACATACAAATTCACAAGAAGGTTCTTGAAACTATACTGTTCTGTTCCTAAACTTTTATCCTATCCCTTGTTGTGTCCTAGTATGGTCTAATTCAATTGGTTCGTTTATACGCAGTACCTATATCAGAATCGCAATCCACATGTACATTTATGCAAAATTTGCGGTATTATTACCCTTAAATTAATTCTACCCCTGAAGAGCAAACCCCTTTAAACAAGATCCTTAAGATGTGAACATGCAGTTTATGTTTGTAATTGAACGAAGCGAGGTCTGCAACATAATGCATCAAATAAATATTTATACGCATGCTGCAGTTGTCAAAATGTTAAAACAACACGAGAATTTAAACTGTCTGCTATAAATATGAAATTCCTCATTAATAGACAGATAGAGCGCAATGGAAACATTCATAACTGATTGCACAATAACACTTAATATCACTTTTTTACAATAAATTAATGAAAACAAATAAAAGCAATACATCTTCAGAGCAGACAGCTTATTAAGTCCGTAATACAAAGAAACGCTCTACAACTCGAGTTGGTGTAATCTTTGCTTGACATTGCATTAAGGTTTGAACTTCGTTCTGCAGAACGCACCATAGACGTTTGATGGAATTACTCTATCCATATTTAACGTTATCCGTAGGTATATGCGATTGGTAAAGGTAGTAAGAATCTATGTGGAACTAACCTCGTACAATCAATTAGTAGATATATCCGTATTTTTCTCCAATGGATAACAACGAAAACCCAAATGTTTGCTGCAATGGATAGCAATCGCAACCTATTTCATCAAATATTTGCATTGGCTCGCTGTAGAACCACAGATTTTTAACGTATAGGCATCTTGTACACACATCGACGTGAATGTAATAAGGAGCTTTGTAATATAGTTTTGAAAATATCTCGGTAAGTTTTAAATAGAATATGAATGTTGTAAAATATATACATATGTAAATATTAATAAAAAATCTGTAACTACATTATTCGAACATAGTAATGATTATAAAATGAGTTGTTAACGGTAAAAAACAAGCAATACGAGTAAAAACATAGCTATCTTTAATTTATGCATCGTACGACTGTATACCAAAACATCATGCGAATACTGACTGGTCATGGAAAAATACTATAAATCAATCTACATTATTATTATAGGTAAGTTAAATACTATTTGTTTTCACTTCATACTCAATACTGCTTTTAATTGCATTAATTGATTTAAGCTCTCCATTCATGCATATCGGTTATTCCTTAGTTTTTGTTAATTGACAATACTAACACTAACACATTTATACATCAATGAATTAACTCCCACAACTCACTACTTACAAATAATTATTTTATAGCGCATGTTTTGATTGTAACGACAGTATTAACTTAAAAGCAATGTAAGGTCTGTGCAATTATGATATCTCAGGTCCGATAGTAATTCAAATTAAGTTTTCTTTTGGTTATGGTCATTGGGACTTGCTAGCAAAATATTAGGAGTTAAATAAAATGCAAAATACACTGGCGATCAAAAAATCTGGACACTAAATAATTTTCCACACAAAGTTAAGACATTTCTTGACTAACGAATCTGCCACTAGCTCAATAAATCTAAAATCGTTTTTCATATCGTTTTCAAGCCTGATTAACTAACAAATTAACGACTATGACGACATTACAAAAATTTACAGCAATAACTAATGGACTTTCTCTACATTTTTATGCAACTCATCTATGAGCTCGTGGCCACACTAATAAAATAATACTTTAATTTTCTTTTAAGCTCTATATGAGAAAGTCCTAATATTGTGCGCAAATTTTGTGTGTATGAAAGATTTGTGCCACTTCATAAATAATACCGGCTTAATTTTAAAAACTATATGATTACAAAATGTCTTACGTATTTTTAGTAAGACAAAGAATGTCAGATAAATTAAAGGGAAAGTTATAAGGTGCCTTGATTAATTTTACGGCTAGTGCTAGTTGTGGCGTGATGTGATGTGATGTGACACGCACGTCTTAATATTTGTTATTTCCTTAAAATTTAAACGTACATTTGTGAAATGTCTTTGTACATGTTCCTGTAAATCAAAAGCAACCAAATATGTCGTTGGGCAGTAATGAGACCGCATGAATGGTTATTATAATGTCAGTGAGTGAGCGTGCAGCAACGTGCGGGCACGGTAGGGTTGCTCACCAGGCTGCGGCTGCTGCGGCTGCGGCTGCGCGGCGGTGGGCGGCGCGGCGGAGGCGGCGGGGTGCGCGGGCGCGGGCTGGTACTGGCGCGGCGCCAGCACGCCGCCCGGCGACACCAGCCGCAGCGGCGTGCCGTTGCGCCCGCCCATCACCAGCGAGCCGGGGTCGTAGTACGGAATCACGTATTGTCCCTGTCCGTTCACCTGCTGCTCGCCCTGCTGGGGCGTCAGCGGCCTTCTCGGCTGTTGCGCTTGTTGCTGCGCCGGCTGCGCCACCAGCCCGGGGTACACGCCCCACGGAGCCGCCACGCCATAGTACGGCGGCACTCCCGCTATCAACGCACTGACGTAGGGCGCGCCCTCTTGGCCGGCATTAATAACATACGGAGCCTGGGTGAAGGCCTGTTGCGCGGCCAACTGTTGTTGTAATTGGAACTGTTGTTGTTGCTGTTGTTGTAATAGTTGTAATTGTGCTGCCGCTGCTTGACCGCCTGCGGCCGCGGCCTGCTGTGACCGGAATAATTGCTGTAACAAAGAAAATATACCATTAAATACCTATGAAGGCCTACATTTTCACACTATAATAATTACATATAATGTTCGCGACTTAATTTGTAGGTTTAGCCTTCTATCAAGTCTCAAATCATATAACATCTCTATATCTAATCCTGCCACTTGATAATAAAATAATGTATCAAATCCTGGAATACATAAAATCCCCTTTTCTATCTCTATGAAATAGCCTTAGTAACTATTTGACGGTATAATAAAGTTATGGCTCTACAAAAACCCAGTATCAGTTTTTGTAGAGCGAGTGTGCAACACATCTATGTATAAGAAGAAAGTTTTACGAACAGATTCAATTCCGAGTTGTATAGCGTTTTAATTAATAGCGGAATGTATCGTTTATTGTTTTTCAACTGGCGGTAGCGGACACGACACGAGGCGCTCGAGGGTTCCTCGTGGCCGCTAATTAACGCAATCGTTTAAAAAGTTAATAACAAGCCGCGCGTGCTGTCCGCAGCATCTGCCGCTGCCGGCAACATGCTTACTGTTTTATCGTTCATCTTATTACTTCACAAGCATCGGATAAATTCAGTTATTCGTGCGGGTGAAAACATTATAATAAAGAGGCGATGCATTACGTTACGTATTTCACGTCGCATTTCTAAATATCTTTATGCGTACGTAACTTCAACTACCTCACAGACAGTAAGGCCTACCCGATTTGTCTGGCAAACAAAAATATTAAACATGTGTAGATATCAAAACATCGAGCGCGTATTACATAATAGTGTCCAAAATACTTTTGTTTCGGACGCAAGTATTTTGAATGAAGTGAATCAGTGTAAGCGTATGGTGTGTGATGTCATTAGTAACGCGCGGACTCTATCTACCTGTTGAAATTGGTTGGCGCTGGTCCAGGGCGGGAGTGTGCGCGAGATCTGTAAACATCATGAACACGCCACACATGAGCACGGTTCGTGCCGCCGCGTCTATTGCTACCACCTGCGCTGCGCCGCACCGTCCTAACACTGATTCATCACAAACCAAATTACCAACATGTTAGCTCTACATTGTTTATTCTTCGAAACACGCAAGTCTGCACATTTTCAGAGTAATAGCATTATGCGGCGAGTGAGAAACATGAGAATTGTTAAAAAATAATGATCAAGATACAGAATTAAACATTTATAAAAGCATTCCTGTACGCTATAAAAGATAATAATAGCATAAATTTCAAATATACTAGAGACCAATTAAATGAACGCAATCTTAGAATAATAATTTAATCAAAATTTCGTTGTAATATCGAGTGCAAGTTTAAAACAGATGCCTTGGAACCATCATCATAATTTTAATTACAGCGCTCGCCTCCAACGCTCCTCGGGCCTATTTTATTTTTCATTAGCTAATTGACACGAAATGATTATCTAATGTCGTAACTTCGCAGGCGGGCAACTCTAAAATCTCCTCACTCGTCGGGGTGTCGCGTTTGATCTCCTGAGGTGACCCGAACCCGCTTCCACGGCAATTTAATTCATCGAGTTAGTGTAATTGTGGTGTAATGTGCGGGTTTGTTGTGTCCGGGGTGCGCACGTGCGCAGACGGAACAACTTGACCGCGGCAGAATTAAGTCGCCCGTGTAGCTGAGGTAGAAGATGCTACTAACGGCGAGGAAACGTCTCGCATTCAATTAGACGCTCAGTAATCCGGCAGCGGCGAGCTTCGATACCAATTACGAGGTTATTAGTGACGGAACGCGCACCCGTGCTCTGCTCGACCCGATCATTTACCTGCCTGCATTTAGATCTCCTTTGGTATTTGATTTAACATTTAATTGTTCATGGAACGAAAATAGACTATTGTTTGTCGACAAAGTTGGTATAGGCCTTATTTATAAATTGTTATAGGATTCTACGTAAATATACCAAAATGTTAGAAGGGTTTAAGTAAATGAACAGAAATTCATTTTATTAATATCACCCCTTTAACAATTCCTCGGAAATGTACTTATATGGTACACAGAATTCTAGTCCGACAATATTGCAGTACAATCCATCAACCGTAGTAAGTAAGGGAGGCGTATAGGTGCCGAGTCACGGAGACGGCGTGCGAGCCAAGCGGCGTTGTGGTGCGCTGCGGTAGCCGGCTCACCCTTAGCAGATGGTGTATTTATTATTTACGGAGACGATGACGAAAGGACGAGCGCCACGATGCTCCCGCGAGAGTCGCACGCTCCGCCCGTCGTCGACAAACAAATTACGCGACAAAGCAATCAATTACAAGGACAGAACGTAGCAGCGCCTCTTGAATCGAACGCTACGTCAACAAGAAGCTTTTAGCGGCAACGGTGAGGTGCTATGACTCTACGTGCTTCGTGCAAAGCTGACACCGTGTTTTCAAGTGATGTTGTTTAACAAACATTTAAAGTTCAGCAAACTGAGAGAGAAAAACATTTTAGATGGTAACGAATTAGATTGTCGATCGAGTACAAAAGGTAATTTGGAGAGAATCGGAATCGACGGGGCCGGGAGTCGCAACGAGATTACGGGGATATCCACGGCTGTCGCGTGCTTAGCCGCCGCCCGTGGTTGGCGTATCTTGCTCTAACGAGTTTATCTGCCCCGCGGGCTGTGACCCCGACGACGATGCTCATCTCTTCCCTATCAACGGTAAATGAAATAAACTTCAACAAAGCAATTTTTAGGAAAGTTACGCGAATAATAGACACATTGGACAGTTTCACTATAAGGCTTACTTGGAAGGTAAAATAACTTTATGAGTAGTGTAGAAAACTGTCTAAGATTTAAATTTTTAAATATAATGATTTCACGTCGATTTCATCGGTCAATTTATCAAAATACTGAACTGAACCTAGCCCAAATAATTCGGTAAATTTTGCCGAATTGGTATTTCTAATTAAGTTGTTGATTGAATACCTACGAGCACGAAAAGCATTTACAGATTTTCAGCGAAAAGGTGGCAAAGGGCGAGGGCGGGCCCAAGCTGGGCGGAGCGAAACCACGCCCACGTCACCCACGCCCTGCCAGAATTACAACTTGGTTTTTGTCTTAACACATTATTCAAATGAAAAATAATCTAAGCTAGCACTGAGACCACTAACGCCAAACTAAAGTCTCATGTAAAATTTGCAGAAAAAATCAGTGTCTGTTGTACTAATTTTGCCGAAAATGCAAAATGTCTTAAATTCATTTTAAAAGATATTTCAAAGAAATTTACTTTTCAAACTAACCTTTAAATTGATTTAATTGAATGGTACGTACGTAGTTATGGCATTCGATGCACTGGTAAGTAATATTCATGTACTGCGCGACAAACACATTTATTCAGTTCGGGCCAATCGTCAACGCAAAAACGTTCGTAGCACCGTAGTCAGTCGTGAAATTATTGACGTGTGACTAGGCTATGAAACTGGGTTTAATCCTACTAATATTATATATGCGAAAGTTTGGATGTCTGGATGTTTGTAACTCTTTCACGCAAAAACTACTGAACGGATTTTGATGAAACTTTACAGTATTATTGTTTATAACCCAGAATAACATAGGCTATAATTTATGATGATATGTGACAAACGAAATTTCACGCGGGTGAAGCCGCGGGCAATAGCTAGGAAACAATAAATTATATCAATTGTACAATTATCAAAATAAAATAATATGTAATTAATTAATTATTATTTATTTACGTAAAAGAAACAAAACTAACAAGCTGTTATGCAATATTAGCGCAACGTTTATCGATTTGGAATTTTAATTTAAAATTTCGCTCAAGCACACATTTCAGGAGGATAAATCGTACAGGAGTATATTTTTACAAATGGCTGATCAGGATGTCCAATCTCGGTATAATTTCAATAAATTGCTTAATAAGCGAAAGGTAATGACACCCTAATCCACGTTTGGTTATCTAATGAAATAAGCTATAATTTGCTGATCTGATTCCATCTGAAATTCGGGGTTTCGATCCACATTGTGGTATGTAAGTTGGAGGTAGTCCGAGCCTCTGAATGCATATCGAACGTGAGAGCGAGAGTTAATGTCTCTAGGTAAATAATAACTGATAATAAATTGTAAGTTGAATGACAGGTGCTTTGCTGTAAGCAAAAGTTTAGTCTACATACGAGGGGCGGCTGAAAAGTTTTGAGCCTAGGGTATTAAAAATGCCGATAGAAAAGTATAAAAAATATATTTTTCTATTTAATCTCCCTCTACTACAACGGACTTCTTACATTTGTGTAAAAGAGCTTTTAACCCACTGAAAAAAAATTCGCAATCTTTGCCTTCGAAATGAGCCTTTAACGCCGCCTTCATTTCTTTGTCACTCAAAAATCTTCGTTCCTGGAGGTCTTTTTTCCAATTTGAGAATTAGACAACATAGCTAGGGATTCGGACTAAACTAAGTGGTGGGTGATTAATTTCTTGAAATCCAGTTTTACCCGGGGCAAGCCATGCAACATGCGCGGTGTGCGCGGGCGAATTGTCTTGCAATAACAGATTTCCTTTCGCCAGTTTGCCTCTTAATATTTCAACAACCACTTGACGCACTCTTATCAACAGTACAGCATAATAATCCCCGTTTACTGTTGTTTTTTTAAGTAGGTAGTCAATGAATAAAATTCCTCCAAAATCCCAAAAATAGTGGCTATGAGCTTGGGTGTCGATCGCTCCACTTTGAATTTCCGCGGCGGCGTTTTCCCTTTTGAATCCATTGCATTGACTCTTATTTTGACTCTAGATCGTACTGCCGGATCTACTATTTATCAATAGTGACAATGTGAGAAAAAAAATTGTTAGGATTATTGTCAAAGATGTCCTAAAACTCCTGCGAAGTTGTGACTCGACGCTGGTTGTCGAGCGGCGTGAGCATTTCTGGCACCCATCGCGCGCACCCCTATTTCATGTACAAATGAGTACTAAAAATATCGCCGATACGTTCCTTGCTAATGCCTATGGCTTCAGCTATCTGTCACAGCTTAATTCACTGATCTCTAAAGCAAG